ATTTTTTGAACTATTTAATAATTTTTGAAAAGTTGTTATCGAATTTGTGGTGGAAAGAAAATTATATTGAATGTTTTGTATTCAGCTTATATTTTGTCTTTGTTTTTCTTAGTATAGGTACGTAGTCTTTTCACAACAAAAAATTGAAAACATGTATAAAATGGTAAATTTTATGCCCCACTCTTCCCTACAAATTTACCATTTTTACGCTCATTTTCAGTTTCTTCTCATGAAGAAAAAACTACGTACATATAGTAGAAAAAAAAAAACAAAATACAGATACCGCCCACCCGCCCTCATCTCAATTGTGATGACTTTTTTATTCGTCGTGAGCCAAGGGGCGGAGCTTAATTGCAAAATGCTTATTTCTCTACCATGTGAAACATGTTTTTAAGTGTCATGTCGTTGAAAGAAAACTATTTATGTCAAGAAAAAAAAGTCAAAAAATGAGTTTGGATTTTTCGATTTTTTATTTTTTGGATTTTCAGTTTTTCGTTTTTTAAACTTTAGATTTTTCAATTTTTCCATTGTTTTTACTTCGATTTCTCAATTTTTCGACTTTTCGATATGTTAACTTTTCTATTTTTAAAATTTCAGGTTTTTCGATTTCTTGAGTTTTCAGTTTTGAATGAATTTTGAAATTTTCGATTTCCCAATTTATTTTTTAATTTTTCGATTTTCCAATTTTTCGATGTTTCGAGAAATTGAAAAATCTAAAATTTAAAACATTGAACAAATAAAATATCGCAAAATTGAAGTCGAGAAATCCAACACCAAAAAAACAAAAAATAACAATTCGAAAATCTAAAACCTAAAAATCGAAAAACTGAAAAATCGACAAATCAAGAAATATAAATACATTGGTGGAAAAATCGAAAAGTTAAAAATGGAAAAATTGATAAATCGAGAGATTGAACAATCAAAACATCCGAACATCCGAATCTCGATATACCGAGATCTCAAAAAATTGAAAAATCGAAAATTTAAAAAAGGAAAAAGTGAATATCCAAAAAATAAAAAATCGAACAATCCAGAATATTAAAAATTGAAAAAATAAAATATCGTATAGTCGAAAAATTGAAAAATCTAACGTTTAAAAAACGAAAAACTGAATATCCAAAAAATAAAAAATCGAACAATCCAGAATTCGAAAAATCGAAAAGTCAAAGAATTGAAATATTGAAAAATCGCAAAAATTGAGAAATTAAAAAATTGTAAAATTGAGAAATCGAAAAACCAAAAAAGCAAAGTCAAAAAATCAAAGAACAGAAGAACTGAAAAATCGAAACTTGTGAAGTCAAGAAATGGGAAAATCAAAAATGGATTAATTGAGAAATCGGAAAACTGAAAGTTTGTCGACGTCAAAAATTGAAAAATAGAAATACTGAAGAACTAAAAAATCAAAAAAAGCGAGAAATTGAAAAATCTAAAATTTAGAACATTAAACAATTAAAATATCGCAAAATTGAAAAATCGAGAAATCTAACACCAAAAAATCAAAAAATAACAATTCGAAAATCTAAAACTTAAAAATCGAAAAACTGAAAAATCGACAAATCGAGAAATCCAAAAACCGACAAAATCGAGAAATCGAGAAATCCAGAAATCGAAACATCGAAAAATTCCGAAACTGAGATATCGAGAAATCGAAAAATCAGATGATCGAAAAAGTGAGGAGTCGAAAGCTGAAAAGTAAAGTTAAAAATAGAAAAATTGATTAATAGAGAAACTGAACAATCAAAACATCGAAACATCTGAATTCAATAAATCGAGAAATCAAAAAATTAAATATCGAAAAATTTTAAAAAAGAAAAATTATAAAATCGAAAATTTAAAAATTCGGAAAATTCAATAATTGAAATAAAGAAGAACTGAAAAGTTGAGAAATGGAAAAACCTGCAATCTTGAAAATTGAAAAATTGGGAAATCGAAGTATAAAAGAGTCGAAAAATTGAAAAATCTAAAGTTTACCGAAAAATTGAGAACCTAAAAAGTAAAAAATCGAGAAATCAAAAAATCCAGGAGTCCAAAAATCGAAATATTGAAAAATCCCAAAATTGATGGAAATATCCAAAAAATTGGAAAATTGAGACAGAAAAACTAAAGAAGCAATGTCGAAAAATAGTAAGCTTAAAAAATTGAAAAATTACAAACCTGAAAAATCGAAAAATTGAAGAATTGAAAAAAATCGAAACTTTGGGATGTCAGAAAATGGGAAAATTAAAAAAAAAGATTAATTCAGAAATCGGAAAACTGAAAATTCAGAAACGTCGAAATCTGAAAAATTGAAAAATCAAAATATTTAAAAATCGGAGAAATCGTATCATTGCAACATCGGAAAATTGAGAAATCGGATAATAAAAAAATCGAGAAATCGAAAATTTGAAGAATGAAAAAATTGAAAAAGCCCAAAATTGAAATATTGAAAAACTGAGACATCTAAAGTTGAAAAATAAAGAAATCAAAAAGCCAAAAAATTTCAATAGCGTACTTATAAACCACAAGTTCAGGACTATGCTACTTTTTAACATTTAAATAATAATGAATTGTAAGATAGCATCATCAATTCCTGGGGGCATGAACGGATACATTTTGATTAACTATTTAACACGCTATAAATTGGAAAATGTTGTGATTTTTTTCCCAAAAATAGGATATAAAATTTAAATTACATCTACTATTGTAAAATCTGGAAATTACGTCATTTCATTGTTGGTGAGCCTTTTTCCATTTGATGATACAGTTTGAAATGTAAATTTTCTCGTTCGGGAACAATATGTATTAAATCGTTAAAATGTTCAAGCAAATGTTTGGAAAATTGTCGATAAAAACTTCAAATATGCCAAATTTTGAAAACAAAATTTTCATTTCGACACTAAATCGATTTTTTGTGCAATCAAATAAGTCAACAACTGAGAAGTTATATTTTTCATATAATTACATATTATTTTATACGGGTGTTTAGATAGTGCCTCTTTAAAATTTTAATGTAAAAACCAATTTAAAAAAGTAGTACGTTAATTTATTTATTATTTTGAAATAATTTATTTTTCCCAAAAATTGGAAATGGAACAGTGGAGTGCTGAATTCTTACTAATTCGATAAAATATTATGTATGTAGGACGAAAACGTTCCTTTTGTACAAGGCAGGCGAAGATTTAAAAAAAAAAATACCAAAGGTGTTTTTTTGTATTATTAGCTACATTAGAAATCCTGAACCTAGAAATTTAGAAATGTTATCTCATACTTTTAATAAACTGTGGATACAATTTTAAACTAAGCGTGTTTTGTTTTTAGTGAATAACAGACAACTTATTTTGTAAATACCACTTGGAAAACTTGTCGATAAAAAATAATCAGTGCAAAAATACAAAAGGAAAATGATTTACATGTGTTTAATAAATTAGCAGTTATTTTTTGAAAATAAAGGTTTATGCAGTATTTATGCGCATGAAGTTAGCAGCTTAAATCCGATGGGTTGAACTAATATAATTAGCTAGAGTGTATTTTGGTGCATTAATCGAAAATTAATTACTTCGCTTACCACTGAACCGTAAAACGTGACTATGCAACCAAAATAATGCACCAGTGGCGAATACATCAAGCTGTTTTTAAATCATAAAAAAATTCTTACTCTTTTGATCAACAAATTTTTTTCTGACTTGACGCCACACTGTAAAAAGCACATCTCTAATTGCTTCACTGAGTTGTTACAAAAAACTAAATTGAACTAACAACGACTGTAGCACACTACAAAAATTTAATTATCGATTGATAAACACTATTACAATTAATTTTGTAACTGCAGGGTTATAAAAATGTTATTATAGTGATTAAATAATAATTTTAATTGGCGCAATAAAATTTAAATATAGCAACATTATCTACAATTATGCTAAATGTGAAAACTCTGACAATACTGGACTGATCAAGGTTTTTGCTTCGAGGCGTGCGTGTAGCGGTTTTGCCGGGTGAGCGTAGCGAGCAACGTTTAAATGTAGTGAAAACGTCTCAATTTGCATAACTCGGCCTGATTTTCCCAAATGCAAATTTAAATTTTTGCAATAGAGAATAGGCTATAATTATGCAGATTCCTAGCTGTAACACTGAGTTTAAATTGTTTTTGTTGAGGAAGGACCCGTTCGTTACTAATTGTTGATTCAACCTTATTCTGTCAATCATTTGTTAATAACCGTAGCTACATGCTACGGCGCTTATTTAAAAATATTTAAAAGTGAAATTGCGTATTGTGTATTTTTACTCGTAGGCTTGCAATTCCGACGAGTCGAGCGAGCTCATTGTACTATAAAAACATTAAAATGTATACAAGATAATGGTAATTACTTAGATTATTATTGTAATTACTTGAAAATAAACTATTTAAGTGAGAACATGCTGTAATGCCTAAAAATAACCAACATAAAAAGTATATTGTGTTTCCAAACATAAATATAGCACCCGAATAAATCGGGGTTTGTTTCATTTCACATTCATATAAAAGTAAAAAGCATCTTGAACTAAAAATAGTATCAACAACGTATCATCTTCGCCAATCACAACACATCAAAGAATTTAAATCGACAAATTAAGATTTAGGAAGGTTAGTTAAACTTATTGTGTACAAGGTCTCGTTTCACGATCACTTGACCTTTCTACACAACCGTGGTACTGTTTACCTATTTTCCTCTTCTCGCAAATTTAAATTGTTTTTGGCACAGAAATCCTCATCCGTTACGTTTCTAAATCCACACAGAATTTAGTAAACAAGGCACTGAAAAATTCGGCAGCGTGAAATGTCAAAGGGAAAGTTCAGGGGTCATCACGCGAAAATGAGGAATCATTGATAAAATCAGTTCGAGAAACTTGCACTAAAATTAACCGTTATTTGTTGGGGGAGAGATAACGATGACTTTTCTCACCGAGTCAAGGATCGTATATGTGGAAAAAATTTCATGCTAAAATAGGTCGTGATGCAATTCTGACTGTTGTTATTGTTGCAGACGAACAAGAACGAGTCCAGAAGAAAACCTTCGTCAACTGGATCAATTCGTATCTATCAAAGGTAATTCATCACTCCTGATGGGAGTACAACTTTTGTAATTAGTGAATGAAATCACTTCGGCCGGTGCATGGTACCGGATTAGAGCTCACGCAAATCAACTCTTATCATAGTGACGTCATTTTATTTTTTAGCGAGTTCCACCGCTAAGGGTAGACGATTTGATCGACGATCTTAAAGACGGAACCAAATTGCTCGCATTACTTGAGGTCCTTTCAGGAGAGAAATTGGTACTTGCCCTCATCGTTTTTTTTTTGTTTTGCACTATCGATTATAATTATCTTTCAGCCTGTGGAGAGGGGCAGAATCCTGCGAAGACCACACTTTTTAAGTAACGCCAATACGGCCCTGCAATTCCTTACCAGTAAACGTATCAAATTGGTCAATATTAACGCCAGCGACCTGGTGGACGGGAGACCACCGGTGGTCCTTGGCCTGATTTGGACCATCATCTTGTACTTCCAGGTAAATATCAAACTCTCATAAACACGGTAACGTAGACGTAGCGCTTCGTTGAGTAGAAAAGTAAGAGTTAAAGCTTGCGCACTCATTTTTCTTGTAATCTCAAAGCTCCGCAAGGAACGGGAACTCAGATGGGTAAGTCGTAGTTTTGAAGACTTCGTTTCTTCTCTTTCGTCTTCTAACTTACTTTTTCTTCGCCACAGATTGAAGAAAACAGCCGCGCTTTGCAATACCTAGCACAGTGGGACAGCTCCAGCAGTCTCGAGAGCGCCGGCACGAGCTCCTCCAAAGACAAATGGAAGCAAGGAGCTCGCAAGACTCTTCTCCAATGGGTCTCCAATGCCCTTCCCAGCGATTCCGGTATAGAAATCAAAGACTTCGGCTCGAGTTGGCGGGATGGCATTGCCTTCCTCGCCATCATCGACGCCATCAAGAAAAATTTGGTCAACATGGCCGAGCTGAAGAAAGCTTCGAATAAAACTCGTCTTCAAACGGCGTTCGATGTTGCCGAAACCGAACTAGGTATCACGAAACTACTAGATCCTGAAGATGTGGACGTTCCGAAACCCGACGAGAGATCTATCATGACTTACGTAGCACAGTTCTTGCACAAGTACCCAGAACCTAAAAGCACAGGACCGGACGCTATCGCAGCCATACAGGAGGAATACAGCGAGTTGCTGTCGTGGCTCATGAAGAAGACTCAGTATTTGGAACACTTACAACAAACGAATTCGCTGCCGCTCAGCTATTCGGAGTACTTGGCCTTCAAAGGGGAGGTCGACGACAAGGAAAAGGGATTTAATAAGTTGAAACATTTAATCGAAGGACAGGGTTTGATTTCTATCACGAAAGAATCTTGGTACGATATTAGTAAATTGTGGAGCAAGCTCCAGAATCAGTTGCTTTATTGGTTGTGGCTTTTGGACTCTCAATTGCCTGGAGATTTTAAGTTTGTGGGCGAATGGCTAGCAAAAGCCGAAAAAATGGTTTATTGTGACGAAATTCCCACTATTATGAACGAAGAGACTGCTTCTATTATTAGTAGGAAGTTAGAGGAACACAAGGCTTTCTTCGCCGATTTGCCTACGGTACAAGAAAAGTTTGCTCAGGCTTGTCAGAGTCCTCTAGCTAGTGAAGTGCCTTCTGAACAGTTACAAAATATGGCTGTTAGACTGAACGAAATTGGACCTAAAGCTGCTCAGCGACGAGTCAGACTCAAGTTCCTTGAACATAAGGTAAGTTTCACATTAAAATTTGCGTCTTCCATAACGATCAAAAATTCGTTCCAGTGTTGCCTTATTGCATTTTTGCAACTAACCGAGACCAAATTGAAAGTATGGAGTGGCAAATATGGACGCCTGGAAAAAGTCGTCCAACTTCTAGAACAGTATCGCAATTTTGTTTCGAAGAATCACATCTTCCAAGAGTTTACTAAAGCTTTCATTGACATGCAGGCTGTAGTTGAAGAATATAAGCGTGACGGAGGCATTGGTACGTTTTCGTATTTAGTGGTATACTTTAGTTTAATTTTTCCGTTCTTCAGACAAACGAGAGGCTGCTGATATCGACCGATTCCTCCGAGAAACCGCCGACCGTTGGAAGAACGTCTCCATGGAGCTGCGCTGCGTCCAAAGCATGCTAGAAGAAGTGGTAGCATATTGGCGCCGTTGGGACTCCCTTTCTGGCGAGTTCGAAGAATGGTTGAAGAAAGCCGAAAAAGCCCTAAACCTCCCCGAAGAAGAGAAAATGGAATTCTTCCAAGATATAAGCGTGTGGCGAGATAATTACCAACTCCTCGGAGACACAGTGAGCTTTTTGATTGCCACCTGCGAAGACAAAATCGCCATCGAGCTGAAAATCCGCTACCAAAACATGACCGACCGATGGGAGAAATTGTATCCTTTGGTCAACAAATACAGCCACGCTGGTGATTTACTACGGAATCGAAAAGACTTCAGAGCGGGTGTCGAGATCTTATCCAACTGGTTAAGAAAAGCCGAAAGTATTCTCAACTCGCCACAACTCGGTTCGACCGAACGCATTAAGCAACACATCGAAAACTTGATGAAGCTTCAAAGCGAAGTCGAAGAAATCGAAAATTTGTTCAAGAATGTGAGTAAAACCTTCCAGACTTTGATCCAGGATCTTTCCAGAGAGGACGTCGATAAGATGATGTTGACCCTCAAGCACGAAAAAGAGAGTCTCGTGAAAGTCCGAGCACTTATACCGTCACAAATACATACGTACAACCAACTTTTGGTCCAACAGGAGTCACTCGAAGCCGGGCAGAAAGACATCAACAACTGGTTGAACAGCGCCGAAAGCTTACTCAGTAGTTTAAGTCTAGAAACTGATAAAGACGCTTTAAAAGACCAATTAGATAAACTGAAACAATTCTTCACTAGAACTTTATACTACAAGTCAATGTTAGATAGTAAGAATAAGGTTATGGCTAATATAGTGAAATCTGTGGACCAAACCGAAAACGTGGATGTCGCTCAGATGACTGCAAACATGGAACAATTGAACGACCGGTTTGCTTACGTTACACAGAACGCCCAGCTGTGGGAACAAAGACTCCAGGAAGCCATCCGTTGTTGGTTTAACTTCTCCGAGTGCGAACGAGTCATCTCCAACTGGTTGAACACAGCTGAGAAACTCATCGCTGAGAAACGAATCGACAGCAAGGAAGTCGTCGAAGAACACAAAAACTTCTTCCAAAGTGTGAACGAGAGATGGATCCACGATCTGGTGCAAAGCGCACAAGACTTATGCGCGTGTCTTCCCAAAGACCAACACAAACAGATCTTGGCGTCAGTGCATCAACTCCAAAATAAATGGAAAGAGATACTTTCGTTTGCGCCTCTGCATTTGATGAGACTCGAATTCCGCCTAGATGAAACCACCTTCAACTACTATATTAAAGAAATCGAGAAGGAAATCAGTACTGAGTATATCGCTTTCAGTAAACAAGAGAATCTCGAGTCGATTATGACGAGGAATAAGCAGTTCTTCGGTCCCCAGGGACCGATGACCGAGACTTACCGATGTCTGGAGAATTTGAAGACGATTTGCGAAACGTATTCGACACACCACCCAGGGGATAAGAGTATTGTTGAGTCTGTGGAGAAGGCGGAACAACAGTGGACGAGTCTCAACAGCAAAGTCGAGAATTTGAGGCAACAGTTGGACCAGATTCCGGAGAAGTGGGATCGGTATAATCAACGATTTGACGCTATGGTGAAGTGGATGGATGAAGTCGACAACACTTTGAAGAACATCTTTAACGACATTAACACTATGGAAGAGTTCGAGAGAGAGAAGGCGATTTTCCAGGTAAGTGTTCTTCGTTATAACTCATAAGATTCCCTCTCTATACATATAAATAAATACAACTCACGCGAATTTTGTTTTTTCATGCTAACAGTTAAAGCGACTCATGGTAATTTTAAACTTAGTTTGATTCGTCGCGCGTTAATTTGTGTCTTAACATTTCTAGAACATCTGCAAGGAAGCCGATTCTAAACGCGAAGATATGAAATGGCTTGTGCAAACACTCGATTCTTTAGCATCCCATTGTCCTGAAAGCCAAGCTCACACCGAACAAAAGAAGCTAGAAGCTTTGATAACGCGTTATAAAAATTTGATACCCTCCCTTGAAATAACTATGGTTAAAACCGACACTCTTTCTAAATGTTACACTTACCGAAGAGATGTTAAAGAAGTTTGTAATTTGCTCAAGCGTGTTCGCGAACAATCGAAACGGGAAGCACAACCTCACAGCCTTCAAAGTGTGAATGAATTGATCAAACACCAGGAAGTGGCAATTACACAACTCGACCAACAAAGACCTCATATTATGTCCATGTTACAAAAGGGTAAAGAATTGATTAAAGACAGTAACGCTCCGCCTTTTGTTCAAGAAGAAGTGAAAATATTAGAGAGTGGGTGGACGGAAACTTATGATGAAACCGTCGAGCGACTTCACAAGTTGTTAGGAACACAACACTTGTGGGTTAACTACTCCGAACAGAAACAAGAGATTATAGAACTTCTTCAGAGAGCCGAACAAGAACTGAGACGGATTTCTCCGAGTCAGTACAACTCTAGTAACCTTCCGGCTGAGTTGTTAGCCAAACAAGAAATGGCGGTGCGTCTACGTGAAGCCACTGAAGAAATGCTTCGCAGATTGAGAGATTTGTCGCAGAATTTGGGTAAAGTCGCCCCAACTGATCAACCATCAATCGAAAAAGAGGTAACCGAAATTGAACATCGATTGAGTACCACTCTGGAGAACGTCCAAGAACGTGTTGTTTTCTTGGAACAGTACAACACGAAATGGGTCGACTTCCAAAGCAAACTTGGAGAGTTGCAAAACTGGACGGTACAAAACGCCCCTCAGTTGTTATCAGCTGTACAAGAAGAAAACATCGCTCCAGAGGAACGCGTCTCTAAAACAACCCTCCTCCAGTCGGAACTGTGCCACAAAATCAATCTTTTAGACCAACTGAATGCAGAAGCAGGTAATTTGATGATCCAAGACAACCCCGACGTGCGACAACTCCAAGCCCAAGTAGTAGAATTACAAGACCGTGTAGTCGCTATTAACAAAAATGTGGAAACTCAAGCAGCCGCTGTTGCTAAAGACATGAAAAACTGGCAGGTGTACCAGTCGAACATCCACGAGATTAAACCCTGGATCGAAAAATCGGAAACCCGAATCCAGATGGGTGTACCAAAACCGGCAACCCTAGAAGAGGCAATCGCTATGCAAACCACCAACAAAGAATTCGCAAAAGAGTGTGACTTACAATTCGGTAAACTTCAAGGCATAGCGAATTTGAGTCAACAAATCACCTCCAGAACGCACGCACCAGACGAAATCGATGCTATTCACACCAGGTGGACCATAATCAACGACACCGCAAACCAGTGGGGTCAGAAAATCGAAAAAGTCGTGGTAACGTGGCAGGATTTCGACAAAAACGCTAAAAACTTAGAAACCTGGGTCGACCAAAAGCAGAAATCTCTCGCCGAGCGAATCATCAATCTAAACACACCTCACGTCGACAAACTAGAGAAGGAATTGGCTAAACTCAAAGCTTTTAATAATGAGATTTCGGAACAACAGGCGAAAGTTATTGCGTTGACACAAAGCGCGGATTCCATAAGTCACCACGTTAATCCCGAGGGAGGGGTTGTGGTTAAAGGGAAGGTGCAAGAGTTGAAGGGTCAAGTGGGCCAACTAGCCGAAGCCGTTAGGGCGAAGATTAACGAAGTGTCAGACGCGATTTTAGTTAAACACGATTTCCAAACGAAAATGATTGATTTCACGAATTGGGTCGATCAATTTAAGAGTAACGTGGGGCAAATTGATCAAATCCCATCTGATAAGGTCGAGACGGCGCTGATTAATGTGCACGCTTTAATGCAGGAACATTCCGAGAAACAACCGGTTTTCAACACGATTTATGGAGAAATTAAGGAGATAACGCTGCAAGCGGCACCGGATGAAACCCAAACTTTGAATCAAGAGTACAGCACTTTGGTGGAAAATTACCAAGATGTGGAAGACAAACTTCAGAGTAAGAAGTTGGCACTTGAGAAATGGGGGGATTTGATTAATTGGCACGGGGAGACTTTGAGTCAGTTGAACCATATTAAATATCAGCTAGACAGCGGGAAAGTTTCTCCAGATAACCTTCCGAAGCTTCTTCAAGAAACGGAGACTATAATCACGAAAATCACCACATGGAAGCAAACAGCTCCTGTTATCGACAATATGAAAGACGTTGTTATTCTGGATAAGCAAACGGGTTTGCCTAGAAGTGCTGACCACATGGTTAGAGACGTCGAAGTGAGGGCGATTAATCTCAAATCGCAACTTGCAGACAAGCTGGACAACGTCCAGAAGGTTAAAGCGCACTGGAAGCAGTTCGAAGACCTCCAAGCTAAAGTGAACGATGGATTGCGCCAAAATGAAACCAAACTGACTGGAATTTTGAGCCAAGTACGAACCTCACACGATCTTCCACAAGCTGTATCAGACTTGAACCAACTACTCGACGACCAGATTGAAAAATCACCAATCAAAGAAGAGCTGCGGAAGGAAGCTTTACAACTAATGAAGGAAGACATACAGAACGTTTCAGTCATCCAGAATGCTATTTCCGAAATCGAATCCAACTGGAACAAAGTCAATGAAGATATAAAAGAACAAAAACTGAAACTATCTGACACTATTTTCGCCTGGAATGACTTCCAAGAGGCCAAAGATCGAGTGATTAAAGACATAGAGCGAATTGAACACATCGTGGAAGGGTTAGAAGTACCAAACGACCTAATCCAAGCCAACATGAATAGCGAAAAGGCGAAAAAAGCGCTAGATGCTTTAAAGAAAACCAAGACTAATTTAGACAGAGTCGACCTTAAAGGTCAAGCGATTGTTAAGAAAGCTGACACAATCCCCGAAATCGAAAGTGAGGTTCGGAGCGAAATCCAAGAAGTCCACGAGGTGTGGTCTAGTGTTTACGAAAAATTAATGAACGTTGCGCAAACAGCCGAATCGCAAGCTACGATTTGGAAACATATTGAAGACACTAAGAACAGTTTGCTTCAGTGGTTGGGCGAACAAAACACGATTCTAGCTCTAGCGGCAGAAAAACCGAACGAAGTAGAAGCAGCGAAAGCAAAATTTGCTAAATACCGCGAAGAGTTACCAGCTCATCAGAGACTAAATCAGAGTATACCGACAAAATATGCCCAACTAGTCAAACTAACAGATGGTAAAGAAATTCCAACTCTGCAATCGCTGGTCAAACTTTTGGAAGATCAGTTCAGAGATGTGGAAGCCAATGCGCAGAAACTCGAACTAGTTGCGTCTAAATATGGCAGCAAAGAACAAGAAATTAGAGATGAGATTAAAACAGTTGGTACTAAGATATCGGGTCTGCGTGAAGGCATAATCAAGTGTGAGGATTTGTCCGGTGACAACGAAAAGATTTTGGAGAGGTTGTTGACAGTCCGGCAACTAAAGAGCGAAGTTTTGGCTTCTGATGGAGATATTAGGAAAATCGATCACGAAATAGAGCAAATGAAGTCGTCGTACCCTACATTCAATGAAAGTAATATACCGAAAGAACAACAGTTGTTGAAGAAGAGATTCGAAAGCATTATCGTACATTCAAATAAGATTGAAAATAGTCTTTTGAGTTTCTTGAAGAAGTTCCACAATGAGAAATACGGTGCTCTGCAACGAATTATCGCTACTCATAAAGAGAAAATTCAGTGGTGTCTGCCAGAACCCGCAAGCGATAAATATAACCTCGAGGTAAAACTAAAATCGTTGGTACCTATTCAAAATGCTTTGGAAGATTGTGACAAACGACGTGTCGAACTAGTAGAGTCTCTAGTGTTACTAGAAAAAGTAGAATCGCCAGAAACCATCAAGTTGCTGGTTGCCGAAAAGGATCACGTATTTTTGGACCTCGATAACCTTAAAGAAAACTACTACAGTACTAAAGCTCTCCTTGAAAGAAACATCGTTTTACACGAACAGTACGAAAGCCTCAGCGAAACCATCTCCAGCTGGTTGAAAGATATCGAAAATAGAGTCAAAGCTGAGAGTACCACCCAAAACGACTTAAATTCAGTGGATGCTAAAATTAACGAAATAGAAAAACTCCAGACTGAAGTACGCGACTACGAAAGCGAAATCCAGAAGTTGGTACCTCTAAGTGAAAATTTGGTGAAAGAAGTACCGGAATCCCGCGTGGGTCAGTATGTCCAACATTTAAATACACGTTATCAAACTGTGTCAAAGTTCTTAATAAACTACCTAGAGAAGTTGCACGAACTTAACAGATACAAAGACTTGTACAGAAAAAGCATACAGGATGTTGAAGCGTGGTTAGTTCAAGCTGAAGAAAAAGTGAAGACTTTCTCAGATTTTACAACGAGACCCAACCAAGCCACTCTCCAAGAACTCAAAAATTTTGCTAGCGAAAAAGAAAAAGGTCAGTTGCTTTTGGGGAAAGCTGTAGAGCATGGAGAGGCACTCTTTTCAGGAATCACACCTGAAAATAGAGACGCCATTCGTACTGAATTGAGAAACTTGAGGGATAAGTCTGAAGCGTTGATCGACAAAGTTAACAATATTTACAAGCAAGTGGAAGGAATTTTGCTGCAGAGACACTCCTTTGATGATAATTTAACACAGGTGAAGTTGTGGATTAGCGATGCTGAGAGTAAGTTAGGTCCTGAGATGAAATTAGATGCCACTTTGGCCGAAAAGAAACAAACTTTACACAACTATAAAACTCTGGCTCAAGACGTAAATCTTCACAAAAATATTTTGAAACAACTACAGGATAAGATTGGGCAGTTAGCAGACGCTGACGCGGAGTCAAAGCTGGATGAGAATTTAGCCAATTACAATAAGCTAGCTCAAGAAGTGAATAGCCGTATCGAGTTAGTTGAAGATTTTGTAGCCAATCATGAAGCGTACAATCAGGCTATAGAGAAATGCCACGATTGGTTGAGTGCTTTAACGTCAGAAGCTGCTCTTTTAGTTGACGAGTCTTCGACGGAACCACCCGAAGCCAAATTAGCTATGGTTGAAAATCTACTAGCACAGAAAGTCGAAGGTGACAAAATCATCAATTCTTGTAAGCAACAACTGGATATTGTTTTGACACAAACTGCACCTTCTGGTCATCCTCAACTAATCAACAGCTTCGCAGACCAAGAGAAGTCGTGGCGACTGTTCTTAGAGTTGTGCTCAGACGCTCAAGAGAAACTCCAAAGTATCCATTCTCAGTACGCCGAAATCGAGAAACTAATTCAAGATTTGGAAACTTGGTTGAGACAAAAGGAAGCACAAGCAAAGGATCAGAGTTTGAAGAGTACGGAAGAAACCAAGAGAGCGCATTTGGAGAAGTTGAAGAGCTTGGAGAAGGAAGTTCTAGGAAAAGAGAGCGACTTTTCTAACGTTAACGAACTGGCGAGTAACGTCGAAGGCGACGTTAAAGTTTCTCAATTACTGACGAGGTACCAATCTCTCAAAAACATCTTAAGAGAGGCTATTAACAGATATAAAGGATTTGTGACTGAGCATCAACGTTTCAATGACGAGTACACAGAATTTGTCCAGTGGTTGTCAGACAAAGCCGAAGAACTATCCGATTTGAGTCACATAGTCGGCGATTTGGACATTCTCCAAAACCGCCAGAAAGAAATCAAAAATTTGATTGACGCTCGCAACTTGAAGAGCGAACAGTTTGAAAATTTGATCGAAAATGGAGAGAAACTCTATGCTCATACGTCGCCAGATGGTAGAGAAATAATTCGACAACAACTTAGGAATTTAAGAACGATTTGGGATAGTTTTACGGACGATCTCCAAACTGCTACAAACAAACTGGATCAGTGTTTGGTGCAATTCTCTGATTTCTCGTCAACCCAAGAACAGTTGACGAAATGGTTGAAGGATGTCGAAAAAGCGATGCAACAACACACTGAATTGAAAACAACTCTTCAGGAGAAAAGAGCACAGTTGCAAAATCACAAAATTATGCACCAGGAGATTATGTCGCATCAGCAGCTTGTAGAGTCGGTTTGTGATAAAGCTCAACAGTTGGTAGATCAGACTCAGGATAGGTCGTTGAATGTGTATCTTCAATCAATTAAGCACCTATTTTTGAGCATTGTGAGTAAATCTGAGGAGTTGTTGACGAACTTGGAGGATTGTGTGGAGAAGCATAGTCAATATAACCAACAAGTGGCAGCGTTCAAGGACTGGCTTGGGGAACAATCGGATAAGTTGCAGGAGTATAATATAATCAGTGGAGAAAAAACAGAAGTCGGTAAGAGAATAACTTACATTAAGAATTTGAAAGAAAACAATGAAGAAGAGGGAGATAAACTTTTGGAAAATCTGAAGCAACATTTCATCGTTGTTGCTAAAAGTACGGCACCTAAAGGTGTAGAGCTGTTGAAAAAAGAGCTTGAGGACTTATATGGGATGCTAAGTCAGCACTTAGAAGACACGGGTAAGTTTCACTCTTTTCAAATTTTCTTTTACTTAGTGTGAAAACTTTACAGACAACGTTGTCGAAAAACAAGAAAACGCCATCAAACAGTGGCAGGAATTCGAATCCGATCTGGAAAATCTCAATCAATGGTTCAAGAACACAGAAGTTAAGTTCAGGGATCAGTCACTACAAGCAACACTTCCTGAAAAAGAAAATCAGCTGAAACTCTTCTCGAAAGATCGTGAAGTGGTGGCTGCTAAAGAAAAGGAAATTGATCATTTCGTCGACAAAAGTCATGCACTTCTCCATACAAGCGGCGTCCAAAGAATCAAGCCTTTGGTGTCTCAAATTAGCAACCGCTATCAGACTTTGCACACTTCCACCAAAGACGTGATCAATCGTTGGCAGAGCATAGTCGACGATCACCAGAAATACCAAAACAAACTAGACGAAACGTCCAATTGGTTGCAACACCTAGAAGACAACTTGGCGGTTTTGCAAAAGGGTGAACTGTCATCGCAACCTGAAGCCTTAACCAATCGACTTCAGGTGTTACTAAGCGAAAAAGATCAAGGTGAACACAAAATCAACTCTCTGACTTTACTCGGGGAACGAATTCTCCCAGAAACGGCAACTCAAGGTCGTGAAATCATCAGAAGTGAGTTAAGGGAGATCCGAGAGAGATGGGATAGATTGGCCGAAGGTATCAAAGAGCAGCAGAAGTTGCAAGACGCTCAAAGTTTGCAACTGTCGAGTTACCAAGACATGTTGCAACAGACTCTGACGTGGTTAGACATTATGGAAAAACAAATCCAAGTTGATCCCTCGACGTGGGTATCAATCCAAGAAGTGCGGTCAAAACTTCTCAAACATAGAACCATCCATCAAGAAATTGTCAGCCATAAGAGGATCATCGATGGTGTTACCGAGAAGGCCCAAACCCTTGTCCAGTTGACCAACAACAAAGACAAAACCGCCGAAGTTGAAGAGAGTATCAAGTCGATTAATGACCGCTACAAGAACTTGGTGCAAGCGGTTCAGAAGAATCTCAAACAACTTGATAATTGCTTGGAGGTCTACCAGCAGTTCTACGACTTGCAGAAAGCGCACCAAGACAACCAGAAGCAACTATGGGATAGACTTAACAGTTATTCCGATTTGAGTGGCAACAAGCAAGCTCTACAAGAACGTCTTGACAATGTTATCGACATTCATGACCACCTACCGGATAGCAATATCAAACTAAGAGAATTAGAAGAACACGTCAACACTAAAATCTCGATTTTGCCTGGAAGGGCGCAGGAAAATATGCACCGTGACGTTGCTAATTTGAAATTCGACCAAGAGAAGTTCATTGCGGCTTTGGTCGACATAAAGTCCGGTTTAGAAGGTCGCTTGAAGCTATGGAACGACTACGAGGAGTCGTTAGAGAAACTCCTATCATGGTTGGCCGATGCCGAACTAGCACTGAAGAACTACAGTCTCAAAAACACCGTAGAAGAAAAACAGGAGCAGTTAGAAAAATATCAGGTGAGTTTTCAGAAGTTTGATTTGCAGTGGTTTGATGATCAAAATTCTCAGGATCTGACTAGGTTGATTGATTCACGTAGTAGGGACGTGAAGGATTTCGTTGTAATCACTGACCATTTGGAGCAAGTAAGACATTTTCATTGTATTATCGCACTCTTCTTCTTTAGCAATGTCGTTGTCTCTTTTTGGTGGTGGTACTTCTTCTTCTATTTTCTTGTTGGTGTTATTAAAGTAGCCTTTCCCGTACTAATAGGAATTGTCCTTGCAGGCTCTCATCTTGAATCTCAGACAAAACGAAGTCGAATTTGATAAAATGTCTGACGATTCCACTGAACTGGTCCAGAGTAGCGGCGACAGTCGGATTTCTGTCAACGTCCAACAGATTTCTTCGCGTTTCCAGTCGGTTCAAGCCACTGCTAAAGAAGTCGTGAAGAAGTGTGAACAAAACGTGGCGGATCATCGCCTCTACATCGACAAATACCGCCAGTGCTCCGACTGGATCGTCGCAGCTCAAGCCAGGTTCGACACTTGCAAGGAGAACATCAAGAAAGGGGCGCGCAATATTCTCACCGAACAATATAAAGTTCTTGAGGAGTTGCTATCGCAACAAACTAGTGCTTCGCTTCTTTTGAACAACACTATCGAACTCGGAGAGAAGCTCTACCTGAGCACCGCTCCAGAAGGCCGCGAAGTCATCAACAACCAACTCCAAGAGCTTCAGCAGGCCTTCGAAGCCCTGTTCGATGGCATCAATAGCACTGATCGTGAATTGAAAGCCAAACTCACAAGGTAAGTGTTTATTTAATTTGAAATTAAACCACTAACAGTCTTGTTAGATGGACCGGGTTTGAAGAGTGCGCTAAAAACATCCGCACTTGGTTGAAAGAAGTCGATTTACCTCAAGAACTCGAGCTTAAAGCTAACTTAGATGAGAAACGAGCTCAGCTTCAAATTTACCGCACTTTGTTGCATGATGCTTTGGCGCATCAACAGGACGTTGTCGATTTACGTGATAAAGTCGAGAGTCTTCCTGAACGCAACGAGAGCATCGACCAACAGTTGAATTCGATTATGGAACAACACGACAAGTTGTTGAAACGAGCACAGAATTTCGTCGAACGGTACGAAAACATAGTGAGCGACCATCAAGAGTACAGCAAGGTTGTGGAAAATGCGAAGGAGTGGATGAATGCAACTCTTACAACCGTGAATACCTTGGGAGACTTGGATTTAGAAAGAATCTCGTTACATTCGAACCTCGAGCGCTTGAAAAATATACAAAATAGTCTTCCGGATGAAGAGAGCAGAATCGAGAAGGTTAAGACTTTGGGTGACCGAGTCATTTCCGGTACCATTGATTATGGACAGCCGGCGATTAGGTCGCAGATTGATAATTCTCAACAGGAATGGGCTGCTCTGGTTTCGGCGATAGCGCAAATCATAGCCCAACTGGAAACTAAACTAGAACACTGGTCGGAATACGAAACATTGAAGGAACAATGTCTGGCCTGGATTCGTGCCATGGACAATAAATTGCATTCTGTAGACTTAAAAGCAACAGCACCTGAAAAGAAAGCGCAGCTTGAGGCTTTGAAAACCCTTCAGGGTGAAATTCGGGCTAAAGAACTGGAAATTGACGCCGTCACCGAAAAAGCGCAACAAGTAAATAAAGCTTTATACAACAGAAACTCCCAAATATCTGAACTAGGAGTGAAGTACCAACAAGTCTGCCAGAAAGTCAAAGATCTGACAAGCCGTTGGCAACACTACGTCAACAGTCACCAAGACTTCGACTCCAAAATTAGTTCCTGCGAACAATGGCTTGGCGACATTAATGACAGACTAACATACTGCTCTGACATCGGTTCCGCTAACCAAAAGGAACTCGAGCAAAAACTCGAAGCTGTCCAAGAACTCATCCTATCGAAAGAAGAAGGTTTTGCCAAAATTCAAAATTTGGTAGAACTCGCACAAACCGTGTTGGCCAACACTTCTCCAAACGGACACGATACCATCAATCAAGCTCTTGCCAATATCCAAGAATTGTGGTCAAATCTAGCTTCACGCATGATCGAAACTAAGACACTAATAGACGAAGCTTTGACCAAATGGGCCGGTCTTTTGGAACAAATTCGCGACTTCGACAAAACGGTCGAATGGGTGGAAGCGCAATTGAAAGAACTGTCGGTACTACAAGCAACCGCAGCTGAAAAGAAAACCCAACTCGACCAAATCAAGAACCTCGAAGAAAAAGTTAGATGCGAGAAAATCGAAATCGATAATCTTAAATCGATGGCATCTCAAGTACTAAGAAGCAAGAAAGCCGACCAACAAGACGCGCAAAGAATTTTCGACAGATTCAATGAGTGTTTCCAGAAGATTACCAAATTGTTGCATGATAGAGAGAATCAGTACCGTGACCACAAGACGTACAAAGAAGCGTACGATGAAGTACAGAGGTGGATGACTCGTGCCCAAGAAAAGGTACCTCAGTTGAAACAAAGACCTCTAGGGGAGAAACTAACAATCGAGAACTTCTCTGGACCTTTGGACCACCTTCTGAACAAACAAGCTCAAGGAGAAGTGCTTTTAGAAAATCTTGAACACGCAGCTCAGGTTGTTCTACCAAATACGAGCATCCAAGGACAAGAATTAATAAAGAATGATATCAGAGCTTTGAGAGAAAGCTTCGAAAGACTGTTCAAGGACCTTCAGCAACAACGCGACCAACTGGAAGTTGTCATTCAGTACTATCGTGACTACCGGGACGACTACGAGCGCATTTCTGACTGGCTACAGCAAATCGCTATCTTAATTAAGAGTCAAAAGATTGCGCTTTTCGGTAGTTTGTCCGAGAAAGTCAAACAAGTCGATGACGTTAAAGACATTTTGAAGAAACTCGACGATGGAAAAACTCAAATCGACCAGTTGAACGAAACAGCGAAAATTCTACTTAAATCGCCTCTCGAAATTCACGTTAACAACCAGTTGCAACAACTCAATTCACGGTACCAAGTGGAACTCAACTTAGCCAAAGACGTTTTGAAGAAAGTGGAGACCAATCGCGACCAACATAAAGAATACTCAGACAATTTAGAAAAGAGTCGTGGATGGATCGACGAAGCTCGAGAATTGATCAGAAATTGTTCAGAAGCAGCTTCTAATAGTAGCAAAGATGTACTACAGTCTCACTTGACTAAAATCCAACAACTGATACAACGACGCGAAGAAGGTCAAAATTTGATTCACGCGACTGTCAACTGTGGCGAAAAAGTACTCCGAAATACACGATCAGACGGAAGAGAATTCATTAATAACGAACTTAGAGAGATTCAAGGCGACTGGGACCGAATCGTGAAGAAAATGTCCACGGTGAAGGTCCACTTAGAAACGGCTTTGCTTCAATGGGCCGACTATGACAGTTCTTACACTCAGTTACAACAATGGATTACTGATCGTGAAGCTAAATTACAACAAGTTTCCGAATTGAAGGTCGTAAAAATCAACAAGAGTCAAACCGGGTTGAGTTCGTTACCTATCGGAGAAAGAAAAGCAACCCTCCGAGAAACAGGAAGCATCGTCCAGGATATTGTTTCCTTCGAACCCATGATCCAGTCAGTAACTTCTAAAGCAGAAGACTTGAAGCAAGCAGCTCCTGCCTCTGAAATTTCCACCAAATATGAAAGTCTCTCAAAACATGCCAGAGAACTGTACGAAAAGCAGAAAGAAACAGTGGAACAACACCAAGCCTTCGTGGATGCTGATAACGAGTTCGTTCAGTGGATACGTCTTGCGAAAGAACGGTTGAGCAAGTGTTCGGAACCTACAGGTGACAAAGAAAGTCTTGGAAGTAAATTATCGCAGCTCAAAGCTCTCCAGAACGAGCTCCCCGAAGGGGAGAAAAAATTAGAAAACGCGTTAGAACAAGGAGATAAAGCTTGCCAATACGCAGAGGATGAAGATCGTGAGATAATTGAAGAAGAAGTCGGTTTGTTGCAAGAAGAGTTTGACACGTATGTTGAATGCTTGACTAGTACGAGGAATTTGTTGGAGGTGGGTATTGTCAAGTGGACCGAATACGAAGAACAGTACCAAGAAGCACTAGATTGGTTAGCTCAGACAGAAAACTTGGTGCAGTCGTACAACAAGCTTCAAGATAGTTTGGAAGAGAAACGTGCAGTTCTGGAGCAGTTCCAGTTGCAGTTACAGACAGTTTTTGACTGGCAGTCGGAACTAGATCGTCTCAATATGAAAGCACAAGTTCTATTAGAAACATGTGCAGATACTAGAATCAGTAACGCCGTGACTCAGCTTTCCACCAAATATAACGCTATTTTGTCACTAGCGAAAGAGGTAATGCGCCGGTTAGAGTTACACTATCAGGAACATCAACAACACAGTACTCTGTATCAAGAGTGTCAAGACTGGATTGATCGTACCAGAGATAAACTCAACACTTGTCAAGAAATCCCGAACACTCTACCTGAAGTCAACAGTAAGTTACAAGCAGTGAAAAACATACGAACATCTTTAGAACAAGGACAGAACAAGTTGCGTTACATTGCTGAGTTGAAGGAGAGAGTAATCATGAACACAGAACAATCAGGAGCTGCTAAAATCCAAGAAGATACAGAAAATCTGAAACAAGATATGGAGAAGTTGTTAAATGATGTACAAGAAGCGCGTAATAAACTAACAAATCGTGCTGCACAGCTGGAAGAAGTCGCCAAACTTCACGCTATGTTGTTGGATTGGTTACAAGATATAGAACACCAGGTACAATCCGACGATGAATTCTTGAACGACCTGAGTGAGAAAAAAGCAAAACTGGAGAAGTTCAAAGTCGTACAAAAAGAAATAAAAACCCACAGTGACTTAGTCGACAAACTGAAGAGTAAACTAAATGAAGACGCAACTTTGAAGAGCGATGATTACGAAAATTCGTTCAAAAAGTACGACGGTTTGAAAGAGTTGGTGAACAAATCAATCATCGACTTGGAAAAACAAGTAGGTGACCACGAACAATACAGAAGTTCGTACAAAAACGCAATGGAACTTATCCGAAAGTCATGCGTTGAAGCCCAAACGTGTTCTGATCTTCACGACGAACTTGAAAAGATCCTACAAAAGGAGGCAAAGATAACAGAAATCTCGAGTTGGTTGCCTGAATGCGATAACCTAGTCCACAGAACCATCGAATTGAGTATCTTAGTCATGAAGACGACTGGTGAAGAAGGCAAAGACACCATCAAACAAGAAATCGAACAACTCAACATGGACTGGGAAGGCCTTCACCTGATTTGTAACGAAACTCAAAAATCTATCACTAAGTGTAAAGAAGCCTGGAAGGAGTTCAAGACTAACTACGACAAGATGAAGAAATGTATAGACAATTTCCAACAACGTGTAGACACAGAGAACGAAAACGACAAGAAAACACCTGAAGATCTGCAAAGGTGTCGCCAGCTTTTGGACGAAATCGTGTCTGAGAAACCTAATTTAGAAACATTGACTGATTCTTGCGAGGCTTTAATGGAACTAAGCGCTGTGGGTTGGGTTCGTGATAAAACTGTCCAATTGCAAACAGCCTACACCAACTTGTTAACCAACGCTCAGACTCTCGTTTCCAAAATTGAAAAGAACCTCTCCGACCATACAGAATTCCTCAAAGTCAAAAAGGAGTTGGAAGAGTGGTTGCACTCCTCTCACAAGAGCGTCCAAGACTGTATAGGAGTGGGAGACGAAAACAGCATTCGCGAAAAACTTGAAACCATCAGAATAATCGCGGCTAAAACTCCCGAAGGACAGAAACTTCTGACTAAACTCCAAGACGCCTTCTCCAAAGCTATCAACACAAGTCTGCCTGAAAAACAAGACGTTCTGCGCGAAAACATGACCACTTTGAGGAACAGTTGGGACCAACTCAGTATGGATTTGACTTCGATTCAAGCTCAACTGAAAGGGGCTTTGAGCCGATGGGACGACTTTAACGAAACCAAGAGGCGTTTGCAAGACTGGTTGACTCAAACTGATCGAATTTTGAAAGAGAAACCACACACGAAAGGGGAACTCAGCGAGATGAAAACTTTGCAAGAACGTTACAAGAACTTGCAGCTGGAAATCAAGAACAAACAAGGTGATTTGAATAGGTTGAAAGAAGAAGCGATTGAGTTGAGTTCTTGGGCTAAGCAGCCGAGAGTTTTGGAAGAAGTGAAGCAATTACAAGCGCTTTATGATAATTTGAGTTCCACTTGTGACGCTCAGAAGGAGAGATTGGAAGGCGAAATACAAGAATATAACAACTACCATCAAAGTTTGCAAGAAACGGAGAAGTGGTTGTTGCAGATATCCTTCCAGTTGATGGCACACAATTCCTTGTATATAACTAACCGCGAACAAACTGAGGAACAGTTAGCCCAACACGAGGTATTGTTGAAGGAGATTCAGAATTACCAGAAAACTTTAGACGATGTGAAAGCTAAAGGCCATGGTCAGATCGAGCGCTATGTAAAGGAAGCTCCAGCTATTAAAGATACGATTGAAAAACAACTGAGCAACGTGCAAGAGAGTTACAACTCTTTGCTTCAAACAGCCGTTCAAATCAAGAACCGATTGGTGGACTCTTTGGCTAAATTTAAAGAGTACGAAGACACTTTGGAGAGTATTATGCAGAATTTGGACGAATACGAACCCATTGTTAGTGAAGAAGTTGAAAAGGAGGCGGAAAGTCTCGAGGAGGCTCTAAACCAGCTGGAAACAGCCAAAGTAAGTTTTTGGGTGGTGTTTTCGTTAATTTTTCTAAACATTTTTTGTAGTCTCTTCACAATAAACTTCAAGGCGAAAAATCCCGCCTCGCTCTTGCTGTCCAGGCTTGTGAAGCAGCAACAGCTTCGATTAGTCGTCCGAGTAGTCCTCGCGACACTCTTCCTCCCCCTGTGCCGATCAAAGAACTAGAATGTAGAGCTCGCTTGGAAGACCTTATCGATCAGGTAAGTGTAACTGTGGTCGTTGATTTAGTTGTTGTAGTTTCGTGTTGTTTTCGCACAATTTTGCTTTGCACTTAGACGCACAATGAATCAGCATGCTCGGAAGATTCCAAATTGAGAATGCTTGTGGATGAACTTGAAAAGCGTGGTTTTATTAAAAAGTTGCATAACCAAGTCGATAAGGTAGGTCCGCTTGGCAGACAAGTTTCCACTTCTGGATAACTAAAACCCGTTTGTTCTTCAGGTGCAATCTCACCTCAGCAACCTGACAGCTTCAGTTGCTGAGTTTGAAGAAAAAGACAAGTATAGAGACGGACTGAAAAGCTGGATCGTGAACCAGAAGAATCTGGTGACGGATTGGAAGAACAAACCCACGAAATTGAGAGCCGATGCCGCTAAGCAAGAACTCAACAATATGAACGATTTAATGGCGGCGGTAGACCAACGTCGAATGCAGCTCGTTACAGACTACGCCAGTCCTAAAAACGCGCCGCTTGAACACATGTTAGACGAACTAGAAAACGACCTATCGGCCACAATAGCAGCGAAACAATCCAACAACGAAATCATAGATGAATACAGACAGAACGTCCAAGTCATCAACAACTGGTTCGATAATCTCGTTAAGAGAATCGACGCTATAGACAAGGGCTCGGGTTTGAACTGTCAACAAAAACAAGCCGCTGTTGTCGAACTCCAAGCCGAATTCGAAGACCAAGGCCCGAAACGAATGGACGAAGTGAAACGTTTCGCCGGACAAGTTTTAGAGTTCGTCAACAACTTAGACGCCCAACAGGTCGAAGAACAAATGAAATCGATCGAGCGCCGGTACAACGACATCGGAAAACGTCTCCAGAGAAAATTACAAATCTTGGACATGACCCGAAAGGGAATCGATGACACACGCAATGAAATCGAGAATGCTCGTGACTGGGTTAAAGATCGTTATTCGGAGCTGCAAAGACCGCCGCCTTTGGGTTTCGAGAGCCGCAAAGCCGAAGATAAACTAGGCGCTTTGAAAGGATTGCTAAAAGAAGCAGATAACAAGTTAGTATTGAAAGAAACTCTGATGAAACGTGTCGGAAATATGACAAATGAGTTAGAACCTCCGGAACAACAACAGCTAGAGTCGGCTTTGAGAAACTTGGGGACGGAGCAGGAACAGCTAGTTGAAAAGATCAAGTCGGAAATTGACCGAGTGAACGCCGCCGCTAACACCCGACGCAATCTGGAACAAAATCTAGAGAAAGCTAAAGCGTGGCTGAAGGCAAAGAATGCCGAAATACACAAACTGAGCGGCTACTTACCGCTGAAAGCCCGACAAGTGGAAGAGGAAATCGCCCAACACAACATCCACGAAAACGAAATCAAAGAATTCAACGAAGGCGACTTGAACGATTTGCTTAAACTAGGAAGCAGCGTTTTGAAAGAGTGTGACGACAAAGATCGAGAGCGTCTTCAAGCCTTACTTGACGAAGTCAAGGAGGAATACGAAACTCTTACTGGAGAGTCGCAGCAGAAGATCAACGCCTTGAGTGACCTACTACAAGGAAGACGCCAATTCGAAACCGACATCGACAAGTGCATTAATTGGCTAAAACAAGCGGAAGTTGCCACAGCTTCTGACATCCGCGCTCCCAATATAGAAGTCCTTGAAGAACAACTCGCTAAGTACGAAACGTTGGGTAACGAAGCCAAACGTGTCCAGGGAGATATCGATAAGATCTGCGAACAAGGTAAAGCAATCAACCCCACGATCAGCGAAGCGGACAAATTGATCTTGAATGAGACTCTCACCAACATGAAGGATCGCCACAACCGCATTTCCGCGTTGATTCAAGACAGAACGAACGCCTTGAAACAAAACATTCAACAACTTAAAGACGCCCAGTCCAGAATCGCCGAAAGCGTCCAGTTCGTGAACGAAATCCAGAGTCAGTTGAAGGAGTTGCACAAGCCTATCGGGAACAAAGTGGAAGATGTCCAGAACGTTCTCACTACCTACGAACGGATTTTGGCAGACTTGAAAGCCAATAAAGCGAAGCTTGGTGACGTTCCGGCGTCACATTCTGGTGAATTACAAAACATTTTAGCCACACAAGACGATTTAATAAAGTCGATTGAAGACCAGATTGCTAAACTACGGCAGCTGCTCCTCCTCCGCGAACAATATCTAGCTTTGATTACCGAAATTATGACTTTCATTACCAAGTACACGGAAATTGTTCGCGACATTGAACGCTCCGGGGGCACTCCTGAAGAAAAAATTAAGAAATACGACGACGCTATTGTGAAAATTCAAGAATGTGAGGCCATGTTGGCTTCAGCTGCCGACAAAGGACAACAAATCGCCGCCGATTGTTCAGTTCAAGATAGAAACAGCATCACTGAACAAATTCAGTCCTTGAAACAATCACTGCAGAATTTGCGACGTGCCGTTGAGAAACAGCGGCAAGAACACGAGAACACGGCAGCCGAACATAGAAAACTCGCCGCAGAGCTTGAAGAAATCCTGGATTGGTTACACTCCAACGAAGGTTTAGTTAGATCCAGACCTCTCCTGAGCCGCGATGTTAACAGCGTGGAAAAAGAGCTCGAAAATCACCACCAACTAGCCCAAAATGTTAACGGTTATTTGGACAAAATCAGGAAAATTCAGGATGCGACGAGACACGACGATAGCATGCCAGGGTCGCTTTTGGAACAACTCTCCGAAGCTAATTCTTTACTAACATCGTTACCCCGAGAACTGGAAGACAGGGAAAAATATCTTGAAAACAACAAACAACTACGTGAAGAGTATGCACGACTTAAGGAGAGACTTAACGACTGGGTTAAGGAGGCAGAAATTCGCTTGTCGAGTCACAAGGATGGGGTCGATTTTGAAAATATATTGACTGACTTGGAGGAACACAAAATTTTCTTCAGCACTGAGGCCAACATGAAGGAACTGGTGTCTCAGAATATTCAACAAGCCGCGGATAAAATATGGCCGAGTCTTACGCCGTACGAACAAGAGGAGTTGAGTCGGGAACAACAACACCATACCCAGTTGTTGAAGAATACGTTGAATTCGGCTAAATCGCAGCGAGCGCAGTTGGAGCAAGATGCTGAAATTTGGAAAGATTATTGCCAGATTTTGGATAAGGTGAAGGCTGTTATCGCTCGCACGAAGTTTACTGATGAACCAGTGACTACTTTGGCTGGGTTGCATTTCAACGTGCAGAAGATTTCGCACGCACTGAATGACATTCAGGTGAGTCAAATTGTGTTTTGTAGTAGGAATAGGTGGTTACAAACAATGATGAATTAAATTGCACAAGTTTACGATGGACGTATGAAGAAAACAATAAATCGGTTACGCCCTGTACATAAAAATAGAGGTGTAGAAATAAAACATACTTAGACACATGTAAGATTTAAATTTATCGTTGAACTGGTTTTTATTTATAATTCAATAGATTACGACAGGAAATGAGATAATTTCTTTTTATGTGAATTTCTCGGTGATTGTATTTTCCAGTTATCAGTTTTATAGAGAAAAAAAAAAAAACAAATATGTAGTTTAGGAATGAGTACAATGCCACTGTGCCTACGTCAGTTTAATATTTCTATGCGATAACCATAGTGGGAGAACCACTTATCAGACCAGTAAAAATTCTCTGATTAATGAGCATGAATCTTAGGCAACCAGAATTTAAGGTAAACAGCATGAATGATGCCGTTCTATTTTTAAACATGTGATATCATGGTTCTTACATCACTGATACCAGAATATATGCATTTCATATTATGTGTAATAATTTCAAGGACACTTTCCCGCTAAAAATCTTTTTAATAGTAATAATATGCGCGAATTATCGCGAGCATCGTTCACAAGTCTAACGACGATTCAAGTGGCGCTTGTCACGGTTCCCCGAAAGAATTTCAATCAAGATAATCGATCAAAATAATCTCGGAATTTAGATAGAAATACTTTATAAATTTTTAATATTGTGTTAGTCGTGTGGTGTTTTGGGTAAACACTAGAGGAGATAAGGTAAACTGTTTGCGATTTATATTAGGTAACTCTCGAGTCGATACTGCAATAATTTCTCGCGATTGGTGAACGACCAGGAAACATTTAAATTAAAAAACGTACAATAAAAAAATAAAGATAAGATCACCGTTAAGGGCGTATTATGCACTCGACATAACTACGATTATTTCGGTGTCACATTACTTATTCTTCCACAGAACCAACAACTGGAACTTGACTTGCTCCTCGAACGCGCCAACGAAATTATAAAGCAAGCAGACGAGCGTAACAGAGTGAAAACTCAAAACCAGAGTAGCGAAGTGTCAACGGAATGGACGTCTCTCGTTTCCAACCTTGAAAATCGCAGGGATACCTTGACCAAGTTGGCGCAAATTTGGGAAACTTTCGAAGGACGCTGGCAACATTTTGAGAGCCTCTTATCGGGAGTCGAAGAAAAAGCCAAACATGTGGACAACATCGTCCGCAGCAAGGAACATGTGATAACCACAAACAACAACATTCTGGTGAGTTTGTTTAAATTTTATTGTAAATAGCTACTTGATTTAATGGTCGTCGTTTCACAGGAACTGCAATCGGAAGCAGAGTCCTTGGAGAAGTTCAAAGACGAAGTGCTGGAATTATCCGAAAACGTCCTCCTGTTCCTCAAAGAGTGTTCCAACACTTCTGCCACAGCTCTCAGCGAGAAATTAAAGCAGTTGCAACAGAGCTATCAGAGGTGAGGAATTTCGTTTAAATTTAGAACACATTCATCTCCAATGAGTCATAACTGAGTTTGCATAAATTTGTATGAAACTAGTGTCAAACGCGTTTTAACCTTATACTAAAAAAAATCAACGATAAACAATCAAAGCGTTGTTGTTTTTGGTCTATGTTTAATCTTGGGCGCGGGCCAAGTAGGTTTTCTCATCGCGACGCATAATAGCCCCCCCCGTTATAAACCTCTCATTTTTTCTTTTATTGCACTATAAACGGTTTTAATTGAGTTATTTCTAGAACCGCTCTATTTTTATCAGCGCAATCGATTCCGAGAAAAAAGCTGCAGCTGTTACCCTTCGGAAATGCTGCGAAGTAGATGCACGGCCAAATTGATCGGCACTGTCAAATGCGCCCGCTTCCGCCCGCTTTTTTTTTCGTCATACGTCGCCGCGCCGCTCGAAAATCCCACGTTTTCCGTTAATCTGGGTCCCGGTGCATGCGCGTCGCGACGCCGTCGTTTCCTAAATTCAAATTTACACAACGTACGATAAAGTCGAACTGGATGGCTGGATAGTCCCTCCGCTCGGGTATTCTCTCTGCCTGGTACCGCATCTGACGCACGTCATATCAAAACACCCCACGGAATACGTAATCGGAAAAATCTCGCAAGGAAGGGTAGTTTCCAAGTGTCGTGGTGTCTTCGTGAGCCGGAATTTTGAGGTAAAGCACTATTCTTAACATCGCACCCGCGTGTTATTTTGGCACACCGAATATGTACCAGGTCGTGAATTAAAAATAGTCCGGTGCAAAAATAAAACGGACATCATACACTCAAAACACGTTTCACGTTGTTGTTGCAGGCTTCTGGACAGTTTAGACGACAAGCGAAGGAAAACCGAAGACGACCTCCGGGAAATCGTCGAAGCCCTTAACAATATATCGCGAGAAAGAACAGAGTTGAATAAACTCAAACTCGAAGTCGAAAACTTCTACGTCTTCGACGCAGATCTCGACAGGACCGAGGCGGAGTTGAAGCAGCTCCGAAGTCGGGTCGATTCTCGCTGTAGACAAGCCAAAGATTTATCTTCGAGACTTAAAGACAAATATAACAGAGCCCAGCAGTTGGTTCCGTCGGACGTCGCACAGGAACTTAACCAATTGGAGCTCTTGACTGAAGCAATCGCCAGTGCCATGGAAGAAAAAGATAGGGAGTTTAAGAAAGCAAGGACGATCCGGACGGATTACCTCAACGACGTCGAAGAGGTTCAAAGTTGGATCAAGGATGCGGAACTTAAAGTACAAGATCGGTCCGTCGAGCCCCAACTGTTGCAACAACATCTACAACAGATTCAATCTGAAATCGGGACGATCGCGGATCGTCTGGAAAAATTAATCAAAAACGGGAAAGTCATCATGGAGAAAACGAAAGACGACGAGGAGAGACAGTTGGTGCAGTCGACGATGAACGAATTGGCTGATCAGTTGCAACAGGTGCGATCGTGGTTGGAAGAGAAGAGACAGCAAGTCGGAGAGACTCTAGACGCGTGGCAACGCTTCCTTAGTTTGTACCAATTGGTGATGGCCTGGGTTCAAGAAAAGAAGGTCTTCCTTCAGGAACCCTTGTACATCACGACGCTCACGGAAGCCCGTCAGAAACTCCACGACTATTCCGTAAGTATTACGAAATAATAGTAACAAAATACTCAGGTTGCTGGGTTTTTAAGAACGCCGTGAAGAGTTGCAAAACCGCGAGCAAAAATCTAAGCGAAATGGCTAAAGAACTGGAACACATCGGAAGCGTGACCAGCGTCGGAGATCTTCCAGCTAAGATGGAGGAAGCCGAAGAAGCTAAAACCGAAGTCGAAGCGTTAATTTTGGAACGTAATGCCTTACTCCAGGAAACGTCCGAAGAGTGGGAGCAATGCGAAAAGAAAATGAAGGATGTACGGGGTTGGATCGAAAAGACCACCGCCACTTTGGAGTCTCAACAGAACAAGAAGAAGCCGTTGAGGGATCAACACGGTCTTTGTGAGAAGTTGTTGGCCGATATCCAGATTCAAAAGACCAAGATTTCCTTGTCTGTCGAAAAACTTCAGGTATTCGAGTGATTCGGATTGGAATCGAGATACTCATTTTTGTTTACAGTTACACTTCCGGTCCGGAGTCGGTGGAGACTCTCGTGTGACTCAATCCGCCGAAGCGCTTCTCAAAGAACTGGACGATCTTAATAAAACGATTAGAGATCAGAGTTCGAAGCTCGAGCAAGCTATCGCTCAGGTCGAGCAGTACCAGATTGAGGTGCAGCAGCTTCGTCAGCAGATCGTCCAGGTGGAACAGCAGCTGAGGACGGCGATGGCTCCGACGCACTTGCCACACGATCGTGATCAAGCTGTCCGAGAACAACAGGTAGGTTCTAGTGTGTGTTGTATTAACGATGGATTTTTCTGGATGGAAGTGGCATGTGCTGTGACGTCACCAACACCATAAAGAGCTGTGGTGTTTTCATGTGACTAAGACTAACATAGCCACCTTCATCTTGCTCAAGCCGCACCGCAGCCGTAGTGAAGCCAAAAAATTTTCGCGTGGTTTTTGAGATGATGTTCGGAAGAGAACTCCCAACCAATTCCTGTCGACGGCAAAATTGTTATTTGGAAACATTTTGATGAAAGTTTTAGAAATATGGGGCGCTGCAGAGGTGATTGATGCGCCATCAAGGTGTTTCCGCTCCCCTCTCCTCGAGGCAGCTGGGGATTGTGTTTGTTTTGGTTTCGGGCTCTTTTCTATTCGTTTAATTATGCTTCATTTACTGCTTTTGCCGCTTCTTTACCATCAACTGCTTAGTTAATAGCTTGAGTTTCACCACCATTTTGTTTATTTGTATATTTTGTGTTCACTCTCTTTCTCATGCCACACGGTTGTTGGGTATACAGATCACTCATATTCTAGCGCATCCACTGTCGCTTTTTCCATTCTTTATGACTTAGTTCTGGGGTGAGCCAGAAAGCGAACACAATCTTAAGTTACGTTTACTTGTTTCTCACACAGCGTTTTGTTTTCGTTCTTTTTTGTCATTATTGCTGCACTCCCTTCTCTTCCTCGGGTGTAGGCGTGCAGAGATCGTGTGCGTGCCTTGCAGAACAAGCTCTCGGCTCGTAACGAGCGCATCAAGTTGATTCTGCAGAGGGGCGTGCCGGACTCGGAACCGCTCGACACTTAACCGAACCGACCTCCCTTCCCCCGATCTCGTCCCTCACCACCCGACTTGACCTCCAAACACCTAAAACGACGTGCGTTTCAGCCACCATCTTGCATCGCGCGAATACTCTATTCACACACATGTGATACGCGTTTTATACTGATTTCTTGCATTGTTGCTGCGTGAACAGGCGCGGATTGAGGCCTACCGGCAAAGGATCGATGTTCTCACCGGGAAGATCCAACGCGTGGATCCCTATTACGTCCAACCCACCTCCCTACTCGGGATTACGTACGCGGACATTACGGCCGGACGGTCCAAATCGCAGGAACGCCGATCGGAAACACGCGAAATGGAGACGACCGAAACGCAAGTTGTTGAGACAAAAATCGAAACGGTAGCGACCGAACCGGAAACTCAAGCTGCCAAACCGAAGGTTGTAAGCGAACCGGACTCCCCGGCGCCCAAAACGACCAAGATCTCGAAGCACGAACCGGAAGCTCCGGTCGTCAAAGCTCCGAGAAGAAGTCGATCGCCGAGGAGGCGCGAAGACAGACCCAAACCGGAACCCCAACCCCAACCACAGAAGATCAAAGAAGCACCTATGGTTAAGATAGAAGAGGAGAAAGTCTTCCTGAAACCGGAGGTTAGACCACGTGGGCGCTCCCCGAGCCCCATATGGGAACCAGGTTCCACCACTTATGCTGAAATTTTGCGCGGTCAATTCGGCCCCGGTCAGTACGGTGTCGAACAAGTAGAAGAACGGAAACCTAGAGTGAAGCAGCAACCCGAAACTGTACCGACGCCGCCACCGTCACCATCACCGCCGCCCCCGAAACAAGAGAAACCAGAGGTGCCAAAGCCAGAACCGCAACCCGAAATCGTCGCGGTTCCTCAAGTGCAACCCCAGTACAGTTTCGTGCCGCAGCAGAACTGGAACCAGTACAGCCAACCTCCGTACCAGTATTCGATCCCCACGGATCAACCGTACTATCCTCACCAACAAGGTATCTTCGATTACATTCAACCCATTCCTGACATGGTTAATTTTATAGCTTCAGGACAACAGTTGATGGGTTCCGGTTTAGGTACTTACTTGTATCCGGACCAGTACAACCAACAGTACATTAATCAAACAACTGTGATTACTCAACAAGTGCCGCACTACGAAAATTACCAACCTCCGCAAACGTCGGCACCTGTTGAAAAACCACAACCGACCCTTCAAGACAAGGAGGAAGTTGATTCAGTTTCCAAAACCGAAGTTGAAGAAACTCCCAAGCTTGATCCCGGTAGTCACTTTTCTTATGCTCAAATTTTGTCTCAAGGACTTGCTTCGAAGCCTCTCCAGCCATCCAGTGCACCGGCAACGACTACCAATCGACCTCCTCGACGCAAATCTCCAGCGCATGGACGCGAGTCCAAGCAAAAGGACGAAACGAAGTCGACGGAGCCCCAAACGCGCCAAAAGGAAATTGTTCCTGATGTTGCTACCAAGCAACATAAAAAGACACAAAAGAAACGACACGGACCCATCGAAATTAAAACTCCATCAGATGGTCATCATGGAGAGCTCGTCGATGTGATGAGTGATGACGATGCTGATGATTCTCCTAACGTACAAGACTTGAAAGTATTTAGTGATGTAAGTAGTAATAGTGTTCCCCAAGATACAGACAAGAAGAAGAAGAAGAAAACGAAAGATAAAAGCGACGACGACATCGATAGTGCGCTTAAAGAAATCGAACCACAAAAAATTAAAGATAGTGAAGCTAGCCAGAAGAATAAGCCGCATGTTAAACACATCACGGTTGTTAAAACAACAACAGAAACGGTCATCGATAATGTGAAACCGAAACAGAAAATTATTGAAGAGACTAAAGTGAAAACTGTTACGGAAGAACCAAACGAAGAGAAGAAATCTAAACAGAAGAAGAAGAAAGGTGGGAAACCACCAGACGAAGTCAATAAAGAAAATATCGTAAAGGAGGAGAAACCCGCCGAGAAGACTGACAGTGTCAAAGAAAAGCCCTCGAAGAAGAGGGTCTTGAAAAAGTCTGATACAGTGATTGAAGTGACAGAAGTGATCGACAGTCCTGTAGAAAATGAAGAAGTCATTGTTAAGCCAAAGAAGAAATCCAAGTCTAAACAGAAACCTCGTCTCGAACAACCCATTTCTGGCGAAAGTACAGAAGGTGAGACGGGAAGCTCGGTAACTACTCCGGAAGAAACAGAACCAAAAGTTAAGGAAAGCAAGCGAAAATCCAAATCTAAGAAACCTAAAGCTGTACCTTCTCCAGAAACAAATATCGAAAATGTAGCCAAACCAGAAACGGTGAAAGAAACAACTGAAGAAGAAGAAGCACCCCTTTCTACTGACAATGTGGAGACGGCACCAAAAGTTAAAGAAAATAAGAAAAGAAAGAAGGCTAAGAAGACCTTGCCCACACATACATCTGAAGAAATTGTAGAACCAGCAGAAGTGACTAAAGATACATCCGAAAAAGAAATATTGCTTTCTCCTGAAACTTTTGAAGCTCCAACTGGAGCAAAGTCAGAACCAGATGTACCAGAAGTACAGGTTACTAAAACTAAATCAAAGAAATCGAAACCAAAACAGGTTCCTCAAAATCAATCAGAGAGTGAGTCTAAGGACGATGTCGAAGAAACCCCAACTGAAGATCTTCCAAAAGAAACAAAGTCGAAGAAAAAGCATAAGAAGTCTAAATCGAAAGAAGGAACGGTCAGTGAACCCGAAGTCGAAGATAAAGTTGAAAGTACTGAAGAAGTACCACAAAGTATTAGCGAAACGTTTATCACCACTGAAAAAACAGAAATTGCAGAAGAGGCTCCTTCTAAACCACAGAAAAAACCGAAAAAGAGTAAAACGAAAGAGCAAGTGAAACCTTTAGAACAACATGATGATAAAATACTCGTTGAACAGGTTACGACGACATTCATAGAAAGTGAAAAAGCTGATGTCTCACATACGTCTGAAACGGTTACCAAATCGAAGAAAAAATCAAAGAAAGGTAAACAGAAAGATTCTGGAGTTTCTACGCAGCAGCCTGTTGTCGAAATAAAAGACGAAGAAGTGACTCAAATGTCATCGATTGAAGAACCTAAGAAAGTGGAGCCACAGGTTGAAGAAGTTGTACAAGTTGAGAAAAAAGATGAAGAAGTGTCACTAATTCCATCGATTGAAGAATCTAAGAAAGTGAAGCTACAGCCTGAAAAAGTTGTACAAGTTGAGAAAAAAGATGAAGAAGTGTCACTAATTCCATCGATTGAAGAATCTAAGAAAGTGGAACTACAGCCTGAAAAAGTTGTACAAGTTGAGAAAAAAGATGAAGAAGTGTCACTAATTCCATCGATTGAAGAATCTAAGAAAGTGGAACTACAACCTGAAAAAGTTGTACAAGTTGAGAAAAAAGATGAAGAAGTGACACTAATTCCATCGATTGAAGAACCTAAGAAAGTGAAACCACAGCTTGAAGAAGTTGTACAAGTTGAGAAAAAAGATGAAGAAGTAACACTAATTCCATCGATTGCAGAAACTAAGAAAGTGGAGCCACAGCCTGTAAAAGTTGAGAAAAAAGATGAAGAACCATCGATTGAAGAACTTACGAAAAAGCCGGATCTTGTAGATGTTCTACAAGTTGAGAATAAATTAGAAGAAGAGGCAAAAACCACACCTGGAAAAGTAGAGTTACCGCTTGAAGAAATTTCAACAGATACGAACAAATTGGAAGAAAGTAAGGAAGAAGAAACTGTAAAAGAAACACAACCATGTCGCGTTGACAAAACCGAAGAACATATAGAACAGATAACTGAACTTACACCGACTTTCATCAGTACAGAGAAAACTCAAGTTTCAGAATCAGAAATAGTAGAACAACAAGAAATCTTCACAACAGTGGAAAAGAGCAAAGAAAAAGAACAAATAATAGCTGACTTGCCTGACGATACTTTCACTCCTCAAGCTCCACCTACACGAAAGAGCAAAAAGAAATCTAAGAAACCAAAATCTAAGGAAGATAAACCCACTACTACTGATATTTTGGTTACAGAATTTACTCACAAAGATGACGTTGTTGAAAAAGTAGAGGAATCGTCAGAATTAAAGCCCGCGTTAGGTAATCTTGTACAAAGTTTCATAGATACAGAAGTAGCACATTCAGATGAAGTGCCCGTTAAAGAAAAAGACAAAGCACCTGTTAAAAGCAAAGAGCAAAAATCAAAGAAGAAGAAGCACAAGAAAGACGAAGAAGAGATTAAAAAATCTAAGTCAGTGACAACGATTACTACGGTCACAAGTATGACGAAGACGCCTCTTGTGACAGAAACTGTGAGCTTGTCTCAACCTGTAGTAACCTCTAAAGAAGTAAAAGTAACCTCTAAAGAAGACGAGAAGGAGATAAAAGAGGTGATTGAAGAAATTAAAGAAGAAAGTGTAGAAAAGACAGCCGACGACATTTTAGTCGGTCCTACTCAAAAGATTGTTTTGATAACTCACGAGGAAGTTCGCTTGAAACCTGTAGTATCTATGAAGATGGAGTTCATTGAAACTCCAGTACATACAACGCATTATATTGAAGAAGTTATGAAAGAAGGTGAAAAGACAACTGGTGAAATAATTTCAAAACAAGAACAGATAGCTGAAACAGATGAAAGAATACCTGAAGGTGTGCATACAACAACAGTAACCGAGACAAAAACGGTAACTCTACCCGAATTCGAAAAAGAAATTGATACATCCAGATTTGATAAAGCAGACGAAGTTTATACACAAAGAGTTGTTGTAACATCTACTACTGAGACAACTGAAGTAACACCTGCAACATACACAGTAACTGAAGAAGTAACAACAAAACATGTTGGGAAAGAATCGGAAACTCAGTTTGAAACAGTAGAAAGTAAAGATGAAAACATCGTAATACAGAAATCGCTTGAAACCTTTAAGACAGAAAGTATTACATCACCTGAAATTCAAAAGGAAGACTCAAAGAAACCAACAGATGAACTGATTGTTGACACTTCTTTGGTAGAAGCAGAACCTGCTATTGAGATTACTTCTGTTGTAACTACAACGGAGGACAATACTCCACAGATAAATCAAAAAGATCAAGATAAAGCTATATTTGATGTTGAAATAAGTCCAGAAATTTTAAAACAGAAGGAAATCGTACAAGCTTCTGTACCAGAAACCATTGAAACCACGGTAGCTGAAACTCATAAGGACATTTCAACCACTTCTGAAACGCAACTTGGATTTATCAGAGAGCAACAAGATTTTGTTACAACTGTTTCTACTGAAATATTGCCTCAAAGAATAACTGAAACAGTAACCACAGTAACTTCAACTCACTCCACTCCACGAATAGAAGAAAAACAATTAGAACCTCAAGATGAAACTACTTCTAACGTTGAAGCTTTTACAACAAAAACAATTAAAACCACGGTAATTGAAACTCATCGAGACATTTCAACGACTTCTGAAACACAACAAAAAGATATCGTAGAGCAACAAGATTTTGTTGAAACTGTATCTACTGAAGCATTGCCTCAAACAATAACTGAAACGGTATCCACAGTAACTGTAACTAAAGAATCTACTCCACAAATAGTTGAAAAAGAATCAAAACCTCAAGACAAAGCTCCATCTAACGTAGAAACAGATCAAGATATTTTGACACAGAAACCTCTGGTTGAAACTACTGTAACAGAACGCATTGAAACCACCATAGCTGAAACTCACAAAGACATTTCAACGACTTCTGAAACACAACCTGAAGATATCTTGAAGCAACAAGATCTCGTTGAAACTATATCTACTGCAGTTTTACCAAAAACAATTACTGAAACGATATCTACTGTGACTGTAACTGAGAAAAGTACTCCACACGTAGATGAAAAAGAACCGAAACCTCAGGATAAAACTATATCTAAAGTAGAAGTAACCACGGAAGCTGCGATAGGTAAAACTCATGGAGATGTTCCAATGATTTCTGAAACACAACCAGAAGATATTTTACTGCAACAAAATCTTGATGAAATTGTATCTACTGAAGTTTCACCTAAAACTGTAACTGTAATTGAGAAAAGTATTCCACAGATAGATGAAAAAGAATCGAAACCTCAGGATAAAACTACGTCTAAAGTTGAAATAACAGCTTCTGAAACACAACCAGAAGACAAATTAAAACAAGTTGAAACTGTACAGGCTGAGGTATTACCTAAAACAATAACTGAAACGATATCCACGGTAACTGTAACAGAATCACATCACGACATTGTAGAACCTCGTAAAGAAACTCCTTTACATGAAGAAAAGGTGAACGTTTTTGAAACTTCTACGGTAACTCCAACAGAAGAAGAAAAATTAATTCCTACTGCAGAAGTACAAACAAGTCCTGTAATAACTCCACTTGAAGAACACAAGTCAGTTCTCACAAAATCAGATTCAGGAATTGACACATTTTCTGAAACCTGTATAACAGAAACCGAATTTTCTGAAGCTCTCGATACCAAATCAGAAACTCCTGCTGGAACTCCGTTAGAAGAATCTCTCGAAAACGTAATTCCACCATCTGAACCATCTCTTAACGTTGTAACTAATGCTACAGAAACTGTTACAACAGAAAAAATAACTGAGGTGACGCCTGTTGAAACCACTACAACTGAAACAATAATTACTGAAACACCACGTGATAGTCTTTCTGAAACATTTGAACTCGAACAAGTAATATTTGGTTCTGTCCAACAACGTCCCAGTCAGAAAGCCGCCGAAAGTCATTCTAAAAAGAAAAAAGACAAAAAGAAGAAAACTCCAGAAGTAGCAGAATTTACAGCAGAGGAGATAGAAGCATGCAAAGCATTTGAAGAAAAAATGAAAAAGAAAAAGAAACGCCAAGGAATTCCTTTGGAATTCCTGCTGGAAACTCCTCCATCTGAAACTGGCGACGAGATCAAGTCGTCTGATTCTAATCAAACGTCAATGACACGACTCGAATCTGTCGACTTTGAAGTTAGTAATATTGAAGACGTCATGAATGTTCTGTCGGGCAAAGGAGAAGTGAAAATTCAAAGTGAACAAGTGGCTGAATTTATAAATGAAGAACGTAAACATCACGGTTTGCCTGTTAACGGTAACGCCGTAGAGGAAGTTAAGCCTGTCGAGACTTTAGAAGAAAAACCGATTAGTGCAGGTTTGACTCCTGAAGATATTAGTGATGAGAAAGTGTTAGACCAAGACGTTATTATTTCAGACAGCGAAGAGAAAGGACATGGTATGGGTAAAAACAAAAGGAAGAAGCATAAAAAATCTAAAACGGTTCAAGAGGAAAGTGTAGAATGTAAAAATGTAGAGGAGACTACGGTTACTGAAGAAACTAAAGATATTACTAGTTTTAATGTTGACGAAGAAAGATCATCGACGTCTTGGGCAAGCATTGTAGGTTCTAAAACATCAGCACAGAAAGTTGAAAGTGAAGAAGTTACGCCCGCCACAAATGTGGTAACAAAAGTTGAGCCGGTAATTAAAGAAGTTGAACCAGTTGTTGATTCTGATAAAAAATCTAAAAAGAAGAGACATAAGAAGAAGCCTGTTGAAAGTGAGGAACCATTCGAAGAAATTGAATTACCAGCCGAAAAGAAAGATGAGGAAGAGAAGACTGTTGAAGAAGTAACTGAAATTGAGGCTGAAACACCTCAGGAATCAGTGATTTTAGAAGAAGAACATGAAACGGAAACTTCAAAATCTAAGAAAAAGAAGAAGAAACACAGACACAAGAAAGATGATGAGGAAACCAAAGTGGAGCAACCTGAAATTCTCGACAAACCACCAAGTGAGGAACATCATCACAAAAAAGATAAACATAAGAAAAAGAAGGATAAAGAACATAAACATCAAAAGGATAATGAGGAAGCTCGAGTTGAGGAACCTGAAACTTTGGATAAACTACCAAGTGAGGAGCAGCAACATGTAGAAGATAAGCCGAAGAAAAAGAAAGAGAAAGTAAAGCAAATGGAATTCGAACATCAAAAAGCTGATGAGGAAGTTCATATTGAGGAACTAGAAACTGTTGAGAAGCTACCAACTCAAGAACAACAACAGAAAAAAGATAAGGAAAAGAAGAAAGAACCAGAACTGGAACCATTCGAGCTTCAAGAGGAAGAGTCTAAGCCTAAACGTAAAACAAGCAAGAAGGAGAAAACAGTTTCGTTTGAGGAACATCCACAAATAATTAGCTTCGAAGAAGAGACTCCGATTGACGAAACTTTGACTTCTTCAACGTCAGAAATAACTAAATTGTTGGATAGCACATCCGAAAATCTCGTTGGGGAAGAATTTATTTTTATACCAAATATTATGGCGGATAATGTTGTCGAACTTGTCACAGAAAAAACACTGTCAGAGAGTTTAATTGAAACAGAAAAGCAGGCTACTGAGCCGTGGGTGAATATTGAAATTGGAGAAAAGCCAGTCAAAACTGACTATAAAGGATTACCGATAGACCAAACATCAAACCTTTGGCTTGAAACAACAATTACTTTAGAAGACGAAAGTGAAGAACAGAAAGTAGAAACTGTTGAACAAAGAAAACCACAAGAAGAACTGCCACAAACTAAGGAAGTACCAGCAGCAGAAATACGACAAGAAACACAAATAATCGACGAACCTACTGTAACAGAGCAAGTGAAATTGGAGACTACGGAGTTAAAAGAACAGAAATCAGTGCAACCTACGCAAGAACCAAAATCACCAGAAAAAGTGGTTGAAAAACCGGCTTATAAAGGTTTACCGTTGGATCAATCTAGTGAACTCTGGATAGATATCTTAGACGAACCTATGGTCTTCTCTGACGAAGAGGAATTTGTAGAATCATCAAAACCACAAACCACTGCAACAACTAGTGAAGAAAATGTGGAAGAAATCAATAAAACGGTAGTAGAATTCAAGGAAGAAATTATAGAACCATCAAAACCACAAAAAACTGTACCAACTACTGGAGAAGATTTACAAAAAATAAATCATCAAACGATAACAGATTTCATTACACAAGAAAAATTACTCTCTGAATCGTCAACAGTCCACACAGAAAAGCCAGTTCAAGCGGAAGTTATTACAGTCACTGAAGAAATTGCACCAGTTCAAGAGGAAAAAGAAAAGTCTGAAGTACCACAAGAAAAACTTGCGTATAAAGGTTTACCACTGGATGATACTTCTGATTTATGGATTGACGTCTTAGATGAACCGATGGAGTTTTCTGACGAGGAAGATACTACACAGAAGCCTGCAGAAACGACGACAGAGAAACCAGTTCTTGATAAACCTCAAAGCGGTGAACTCACACAGTTTATAGAAAATGAAAAGCTTTCACTTGAAACACAATCCGTAAAGGTGGAAAAATCTGAAAAACCAGCTTATAAAGGCTTGCCTCTAGATGAATCAAGTGATTTGTGGATGAATGTTTTAGACGAGGAAATGGTGTTTTCAGATGAAGATACAGACACACTAGTGCGACAACCAGAACCGGAACAGATTACAACTACAAAAGAAGAACCTTCTGAAATACCAAGTAAAGAAGTGGTTGTTGAACAAACTCCTTTAGTTTGTCCTTTGCCAGTAAAAGATATTGTTCCGGCTACCGAAACTGTAGTTGAAACAGTCAAACAAGAGGAAAGTTTACTTGAAAAACAACCAGAAAAGGTGGAAAAACCTGAAAAACCGGCTTATAAAGGGCTGCCTTTGGATGAATCAAGTGATTTGTGGATGGGTGTTTTAGACGAAGAAATGGTGTTTTCAGATGAAGATACAGAAACACCAGTGCAACAACAAGAACCGGAACAAATAACAACTACGAAAGAACCTTCTGAAATACCAAGTAAAGAAGTGGTTGTTGAACAAACTCCTTTAGTTTGTTCTTTGCCAGTACAAGATAGAGTTCAGTCTACTGAAACTGTAGTCGAAACAGTCAAACAGGAGGAAAGTTTACTTGAAAAACAACCAGAAAAGGTGGAAAAATCTGAAAAACCGGCTTATAAAGGGCTGCCTTTGGATGAATCAAGTGATTTGTGGATGAATGTTTTAGACGAAGAAATGGTATTTTCAGATGAAGATATAGAAACACCAGTACAACAACCAGAACCGGAACAAATAACAACTACTAAAGAACCTTCTGGAATACCAAGTAAAGTGGTTGTTGAAGAGACTCCTTTAGTCTGTCCTTTGCCAGTACAAGATAGAGTTCAGTCTACTGAAACAGTGGTCAATAACGTTAAACAAGAGGAAACACCAGCAGTAGAACAAGTTCAGCAAACTACTGAACCAGTAGATCTTCAACTTCCTGAAGTACCAACTGAAGAAATAGAAGTGGAAAGAGCTCCAGAACCACTAAAGATAATTTGTCGTTTACCAACGGAAGAAAATATTGACTTCATTGTTCATGAATTAGAATATGGTACTACCCCTACGAGCGAACTACAAATGGACGAAGAAATTGTAGACAAACAAAATACTTTCATCGTAGAACCGGACTTAATCAAGTACGACGTAATCGCTCAACGCAAAGCAGAAACGGAGTACTATATCCGACAGTCGTCACCTGAAAAAACAGAAGAAACTGAAACAGAGAAAGAACCAGATAAATTTTCATGTGCATTTGTGGACGATAATTTGGTGCAATACGATATTCTATCTATGATGAGAGCTGAAAGTGAGTATTACATCAATACGAGGCAAGAGAAACCAGCACCTGAAGAATTAGACGAAGCAGATAAATCTTTGAAGTATTTCTTCTTAGAATTTCCTAAGTATGATATTATTCAGCTTTTGAATGCGGAGATTGCTTGGTATGAGCAGAAAGCAAAAATCACAGAGCCTGAGGTAACCGAAAAGACTGAAGAAACTACACAAAGTGAGATTAAGGAATTGCCTAAGGAAAAAGATAGTCTGTTGGAGTTTATTGCTCAAGAGAGGTCTTCTGCAGAAGTACCTGTGATTGTAGAACCAGTGGTGGTACGTTCTGAACAAGTAACAGATCTTGATGAAATAGTGACGGACTTGGATGATCCAATGCTGGATATTCCAAAACTGGAGGATGTTAAAGAAGATACAGACAAATTTACTATCGTAGAATTTATTAAAAAAGAGATGGATGTAATTACCACTGATTTAGATGAGCCATACGCTAGTACCGCAGAAGTACCAGAGATGGAGGTAATTACTACTGACTTGGATGAACCATACATCGGGAAAACGGAAGTACTAGAGACAGATGTAATTACCACTGACTTAGATGAGCCATACATTGGTAAAACGGAAATACCAGTAGAAAGTAAGGTGAAAGAACAGGAAGATACACCAGAAAACAAAATTGAAGAAATTGTTACACTTACGGAAGAGGTTGACACAGAAAAGCTCACTATGACTACAAACACAGATGTCAGTGCAGCTACCGAAAAACAAGAGGAGATAGAAGTGGTTACTGAAAAAGTAGAAAGTATACAACAGGAAAGCGAAGAACCATCAGACATCATAGAGAAACCTGTGGTTGTGAAACCAACTCCAAGTGAACAAGAAGTTGTGCAAGAACCTGATACTGAATTAAAACCTGCAGTGGAACAAGCGCCAGAAATTAAACCAGATACAGTTACAGTTCCTGTGGAAGAAAGTGTGCCAAGTGCAGACAATTTGAAATCTAAAGAACAACCAAAAACAGACGAAGTAGTCGAAGTTTCAGCAAAATCTATACTATCAACAACAAAGCCTTACGAACTGCCTGACGAAATACCTGAAGTTTCTTTACTCACTTTGGCCGACGCCGAAGAATTGATTCTTCCAACTAAAGAATCGATGAGATCATCACAGTTCGAAGCTATCTTAGCTAAAGCAACTGAGTTCGTGCCAAAATTGGAACACTCGCGCCTTAATCCAAACGCTGCGGAATTTATCCCTGGTGCTGAACACAGGACACAATATACTGAATTCACTTCGGAATACAAAGACGACGAATCCGAATTTGATGATAGTTCTACACAAATGTGGAGTTACGGTGAAAGAATCTACAACGATATAGTAGACAGCCAGCAAGATTCAGGTTTTGTAACTTCCGAACCTCAAAGTAACGTATGGACAGAGGAAGTTAGATCACCATCTCCTCAAGAAACCGACAAATTCATCGCTACTGAAAAAGAAGAAATCGAGAAAGAAACGCGAGAAGAAAAAGAGGATATTGAAAATCTTCTTCCTAAAGAACTGGTAACTGAAGTTAGCACCGAAACGGTTGAAGAGGTGAGTGAAGAAACTCTGAAACCGAAAAAATCTCCACGAAAACGTAAAAGTAAGTCGCCGAGACCCCCACCACAAGAAGAAGAGAAACCGAGTGAGGATGCATCGTCTGCACCTACTCCTGTTAACGTTTGGGAAACTTTGATGAAAGGAGACAAAACTTACGCTGAAGTTGTTGCCAGAAAATTACCCTCGTCGGAATCGGAAGACACCGATGGAGCTAAAGAGACGGTTCCACAAAAGGAGGAAGTTTCCAAAAAACCGGAAATAAGAGTGATTGAACCGACAGAACATAAAGTCGAAGTTGAGGCAGATGAAGATGGTTTCACGGAGTTTGTGTCCAGAAGGGCTCGATCACGTTCACGATCACGATCGCGGTCCAGACAACGCGAGTCTGAACCTCAACCAGAGTCTGCTGATGAAGTAATCGAAAAGAAATTGCAACGGAAATCCAGACGAAGGCATAGGTCTCCGAAGGAGGAAATTGAGGTTGCACATGCCGAAATTTCTGACCACGAAGAAATTAAAACTGAGGAAATAAAGCCGGTTGAAGTTGCAAAGAAACCGAAGAAAAAGAAGAAGACAAAATCTGTGAGTGAAGATGTGAAGGACGTGCCCGTAGTTGAAGAACCTTTAGAGGAAAAAGTTACAACTACAAGTGAAGAAACTTCAGAAGATATGGAAAGTCATTTATTGAGGTCTTACGCAGATGCGGTTAGTGGCCGCAGTAGAGAGCCATCGCCATGTGCTGTTTCAAGAGACGTTCCGCAGGAAGAAATAATAGTTAAGGAAGAAGTGAGCGACGTTGTAGATGTTGTGGAAGAACCAAGTGCGACGGAAACACAAGTGCACGAAAAATTACCAGAAACTGTTGAGTTTACTGAAAAAATTGAAGAACCGACAGAAAAAATAGACGAAGAAGTTGTTCAGATAGATACTGTAAAGAAACCAAAGAGAAAATCAAGAAAACGGGACAGATCTCCTAAACCTGCTGAACCTCTTGAGAGCATCGTCGTTTCCCAGCCTGAAATTGAACAACCTGGAACTTCTGTTGAAGGTCATCATAGAACCTACGCTAACATTGTAGCTTCGAGTAGAAGTAGGGAACCGTCACCTGTTACAACTCCTCAACCAACTGAAATGTCTAAAACACCTGTACAAATTCAAATTCAAGTGGTCGGAGAAAGTGAACATAAACCTGAACCACTTCCAGTAGATGAAGATGGTTTTATGACTTTGGTTACAAAGAAAGAACGTCGGGCTAGATCTAGATCGCGTTCGAAGTCAAGGAATGAAGAACCTAAAGTTGATAGTCACAGCTTTTTAGAAAATGAAAGACAATATGAAACCAAGATGAGAAGTTGGGCTTCAGTGGTTAGTTCCAAGAGTGACACTAAAGTAAAAGAGGTGAAAGTGCCAGAACAAGAAAAAGTGGTAACGTTACCGGTGAAAGTTGACACGGTAAAGACGGAAAAGAAAGAGCCTGAATCTCCCAAAGCGGAAGAAGTGAAAGTGGAAGTTAAACCTACTAAAGACAAAAAGAAAGAGAAGAAAGAAGAAAAGCAAGGAATTTTCGGAGGCTTTTTCTCTTCGGTTAAGAACGTTTTAGGAGGTTCTAAAAGTAAGGATACAGTTCCAGAGGAACCAGAAAAGGTACAAGAACCCGCGGAACACAAAAAGAAGAAGAAACACAAGAAAGGCAAGGATAAAGGTAGCAAACAAGACACCAAAGAGGCGGAAAGTGTCCCTGCGCAACACAAAGCTGAACTGTTGGAAGAAACTATGGTAACGGAAAATGTCGAAGTGACAGTCGATAAAACAAAAGAACCCGAAAACGTTAAATATCAAAGTTCAGAAAATGTAGAAGTGACAGTTGATACCACACAGGAACCCGAAAACGTTGTCAAGGAACAAACTCCTGAAGAGCAGTTGAAAGAACCAGTCATTGCTGAAATAAAAGACCACGAACAAACAGATCTAGAGGCTACAATTATGGAAAGACTAACAACCATTCAAGAAGAACTTACAACACCAGCGACCGATGAATTCACACAAATTAAAAAATTGGATACTGAAAAACTACCAGAACACACACTTGGAGACAGTATTGTGGAAAAAACTAAAGTAGTAGAAGTAGAACCGAAGTTTGTGGAAACTGAAAAACCACCAGAACACAAACCTGAAAAAGAGAGTGTTGCTGAAGAAGTTAAAACGAAAGATGTGGAACCGAAGTTTGTCGAAACTGAGAAATCACCAAAACGCAAACTTGAAGAAAAGAGTGTTGTCGAAGAAGTTACAGTAGTAGAAGTAGAACCGAAGTTAGTAGAAACTGAACAACCATCAGAAGACAAAACTGAAAAAGAAAGTGTTGTTGAAGAAGTTACAACGAAGGGAGTAGAACCGAAGCTTGTAGAAACTGAGAAACCACCAGAACACAAACTTGAAAAAGAGGATACTGTCGAAGAAATTAAAGTAGTGGAAGTGGAACCGAAACTTGTAGAAACTCAGAAACCAGTACAACACAAACCTGAAGGAGAAAATATTGTTGAAGAAGTTACAGCGAAGGAAGTAGAACCAAAACTTGTAGAAACTGAAAAACCATCAGAACACAAATTTGAAGAAGAGAGGGTTGTCGAAGAAGTTACAGTAGTGGAAACAGAGCCGAAGCCTGCAGAAAAATTAGCAAGCGGTGTTCCACAGGAAATAACTGAAGTAATTGAAACAGTGAAAGATGATCTCCCAGATAAAACCGAAGAAATTGCGTTTGAAATTATTGAACCTAAGGAAAGCGCAAAAGTGCCAGAAGAAAATCTCACACCTGACGAAATCGAGATAGTGAATCAAAAATGGATAATGGAACAGCAAAGTTCGAGTATTAAAGATGATGTTCAAACAGAACAAACGCAAGAATTTGTGTCCGAAGGAGATTTCTTCATCGTGGAGAAACCAACGGAAACTTCAAAACTGCCACATGATAAACAAGCCGTTGCAGAATTTATCGAACGTGAACAATATTTCACACCTGACGTACCCAAGACACCTGCGTCTCCAGTCGAAAAACGTGGTAGCTTCCTCGAAACTCTCATATCTAAAGTTGCACCCTCAAAATCCGACGAGAAGAAGAAAAAGAAAACGAAAAAAGGCGAAGATAAAGAAGAAGTGAAATTGGACGCTGAAGAGAAAGGCAAGAAAAAGAAACGTAAAGAAAAGAAAGGAAAAGACACGCCATCAGAAGTGGTTAAGCCTGACAACGTTCAAGTAGCAGAAGATATCAAGGAACCCGAACAACCACAAAAGTCCACATTTGAGATTGCAGTTGAAGAAATCGAAAAAGAAAAACTGACGGAACTAACGCCCGCCGAAGAAGTCGAAATGGTTCGACAAGAAGAATCGAAGAAAAAGAAAAAAGACAAGAAGAGCAAGCGTCAGAAATCATCAGATTCGGAAACCGCGACTGACGAGAAGCAAGGCGTTTTCGAAACGATCGTGTCAAAAATTTCGGAAGTGTTTTCGCACAAAAAGTCCGACGATTTAATTCTGTCTCCCAACGAAGTCCTTGCGCTAAATCTTAACCTCGACGGTCCTTTCTGGTTAGATAAATCTTTGTACGACGAAGCCGAAGAGAATTATTACATCAACCTCGGGAAGAAGCAAAACGTCGAAGAAGTCTCTGTCGGAGACCATTTCGACGGATCTCCAGATAAAGACGACGATTCTGAAGGTTCTAGCGGTCGCGGTTCGCCGAGACCGGCTCAGCAAAACGGCGACATTCACGGTAACGTTGCTCAGACCGACTACAGGATGTACTCTTTACCTGGAGGTGTGGGCGGTTGGAAAGATCGTAGTACCTATTTAGAACCCGAACCGGTCGCGAAAATCAAAACTGCCGATGAGCATTTACGAGCGGCTAAACACCTATCTGAAAGTATCGCGGAAGATGTAATCGCGGAATCCTCCCAAAATCCTTCTCTAGGGCCTCCAATGCAGCCAACGATATCCGCAGGGATTGACAGTCCACCGGGAGGTGACCAGCTCAAGAAGGTGAAATATTGTGTGTTTCTTTAGGGTGTCGTTTTAAGTGCATGACTGCTTATTTTATTTATTTCGATAATAAAAATGTTGTAACTTGCATTTTTGGGGGTTTAATTTAGCGTGTGGTGTCTCTGAATGTTGTTTATTTTGGGGTGTTTTGATGGCTTTATTAATTTGACTGGACGCTGGCTTGTGTCATTGAATTGTCAGTAATGTCACGGCGTTTGCTCATTTTCGACCGTTCGCAGGATCTTACCGAGGACGTCGCCAAATTGCAAAAGTTACTTCAGACCACCGAAATCTCCATTGAGTACTTACCACGGGAAGGATTCGACCAGATGATCAGAGCGCTGGAAGTAAGTAGACTTTCTAGGATTAGGTCAGTTAGCAGCATGTGAGTCATGATTGCTTTATGCATCTGCGACCTCAATTTCTACTGCTTTGTTTGGACTTTTCTTGACACTTGTTGTTGTCCTTGTCCGTAGCAATGAACTCTTGACCGAGTTTCCCGTGTTATCGAATACTTTCGCCTTTATTTATACAATCCAGATGACATCATTATTTTAATTTTAACAATGATTCGTATACACTTTTAGCAGACCACATGACCGGCTTATTTATATTCCTTACGTTAAATCATTTTAACTGTGTAATATTAATGATCGGACGTAGTGTTGCTATTTTCAAAGGTGAGATTGGAACATTTTTCGTTTACGTAAGTTTTTTTCTAACTCTGACATCGTGATTCAAGCATTCTGTTTACAAACACGTGAGTCTAAGTCGAGACGTGAGTAAAAGTTATCAAAACCGTCAAAAATAAGTCTGATTGTACGATACGACATTGACGACATTCTTGAAAATGGACCAATAGACAAACCTTTTCTCTTGGCACTGTAGATGGATAGTGTGTCTAGACATCCGGTGATCATGTAACCAATACTGCCCACAAAACTTTTAGAGTCAACGATTGAATAAAATTATAAAAACATCTAGATCGTGGGGGCTGTGTGGGTTAAGCTAAAAAAATAATCAAACCGCCAGCGCATTGTTCAAATATTGAAATTTTATTATAAAAGAACTTTATTTAATATATGGTGACGTCATTTTCCGTTGTGACTAATAACTACACCTGCTACGAAATCGTTTATTACTAAGCCATTCGGCGCCACTACATATCAAAGAAAACTAAAAAATACAAAAGAATACATTTTTAGATCGAGTTATAATAAAGTATCCTAGCCGGTTGTCACCTGCCATTTGAGATTTATAACCTCGTAACGCTCCATGTCTCGCCACCCAGTTTCTAAACTTACTCTGACCTAGCTAACCTTAACGCTCTTTTAATTAATAAGCAATCACGTCTTAATTACCATTAAGTATTGAACGACACCAGCTCCTTTTATCTTGCAATTGACGTCTTCGCTCCCAATCTGTCGGTGCTCGTTTAATGGATTCAATTAGCGCCCATCAAACCAGGCGCCGAACTCTAAAAATAACCAATCTCGGCTCTCGTACATTATCTTGAACCGCATCTTCATAAATAAACAAAATCCCACCGCACCGTCGAGTGGTCAGTCGGTTGTTAGACGCGTTAGGATTAAGTACCTCTCGTTGAATTCTCCGGTATGTATGATAATTCCAAAAATAGCTCTTGCTCATTATTCTTTCTAACCATGACATCACCTTTTAGGAAATAACGAGCGACTTGAAGAAACATGCAGCTCAGGCCATCAGTCTCGAAGGCCAAGTCCTCGAACTGAAGTCCGACCACGAGACTCAAGCTTTGGCCGTCCACTTGGCCGGTATCAGGACAAGGATCGCCACTCTGCTATCACAGGCCGAGCACGGCAGGATAGCGGTGACGGTAAGCACTAATTTTAAGCACGAATTATGTAACGAGTGGGCTAATTCCAGAACGCTCGAGAGTCACACGTGAAACGACAGGAAGAGCTAAGCCAGTACCAATTACTGTTGACGGAAATAGAAATTTGGCTGGAAAGGACGCGAGAAACAATCCAAAGCATCGCAAGACCCGACAGTGAAACGCAAGTAGCAGCATCGATCGAGAATCTCAACCAGCTGGGGAGAGAGTTAGATGACAAGGAGAAAAAATTAGAACAGTTGGCCGCGATCTGTGAGGAATTCAAGAAGTACCCCGATTTGAAACAGCTGGCAGAGACTTTAGTGGAGCAGTTAACAACACTGACGCTCATCTTCGCCGAGCAAAGGACCACCATAAAAACGAAAATAGACACGTTACGAAAATACTTAGAGGAGTTGAAGGAAGATAAGAGCGAGAACACTCTAGACTCGGGGTCTATGCCCATCGAGGAAAGTCCGGTGGTGGGAGTACACATCGAAACTCAAACCGGCAGGAGCTTAGCGTCACCAGAACAAGTAGTCACACGCGATTTCACAGTCACTTACAACGAACCCGTGGATGTGCAAATACAGACCCAGTTGTCGGAAAGCTCCGACGTGGAGCCGGGCAAACACAAAGAGACTATAACCATCTCGAAGACGGTAGCCGACGGCGCAGAAACCATCCAAATCGCGACAAAACCAATGGCTGAGTCGCAGCCTATCGTAGAAGAGCCAGACGACCTTCTCGTCGAGGCCAACTACCGTAAGCAAACACAAACCGAAGGTAAATCAACCGAGTTGAACATCACAAACGCCAAACCCAATCAACCATTCGAAACCGTGTTCGTGGAACCCGATGAAACCACCACCGAGGTGATTGTGGATGCTGACGGTACCAAACGCATCATAGTGAAGAAGTTGCACAGAACTGTAGTGCGACATCAACAGACCGTGCAACAGCAACAATTAACCAGTACTAGTACCATTACCGATGATGCTCAAGCTCAACCCGTGAGTCAGTCGTTCTCACAAGTCACCCTCAAAGAACAACAAAGCAGTACGACTTTAGCCCGTGGTGACGGTAGCAGACAAACGGTCACCAGCAAACAATACGGCGGGAAAATAGTGTCTGGAGTACCTGGAGGCGACGTCGACGTTCAAGAATTCCAAACCGACCCGGAAACTCAGGTCACGGTTGTGGAAGGTACCAGACCCTCTGAAATCGAAATCGAAGGAATCAGACTCCACGAAGGTGACGTTACGTTCTTGGACCAAGAAAACAAGTTGGTACCGCCGTACGACGGCAGCGAAATTCACACGTCTAGCTCTAGTGTACGAGCCGTCGTCCAACAAGTCACTAGAAGGATAATCAGAAAAACCCGCCGCATCATCCGTCGTACCGTCATAGTCGACGGAAAAGAGCAAGTTACGGAAGAAATTGTCGAAGAACCTGAAGAAGTCGAGGTAACAGAAGAAGGTATACCCCGAGTCAGCATTAACGTGACTCGAACTGAAGACGGTAGAGTAGTGCAGGAGCAACAGTTCGGTGAGCCGACTGTGATTGTTGAAGAGCCGGGAACTAGTGTCACTCAGACTGTGACTGGTGCCATATTCGATGGGAAACCCATTGAAGCTTTGACCGAAGTAACAGAAGAAGGCGAGAGGTACGTTGTAGAACATCCCAGTGCACTTCCGCCTCAAAGCTCAGTAACTTCCGCTAGTAAAGATTTTATAGAGAACGAAAGATTTGCACTTAGTAGTACTGTTGAGGCACCTAGAGTTGGCGATGCACCAGAGAAAGCGCAAACTCCACGAGACGAGTTACCGGGTACGGGTAGTACTGATGTTGTTGTTGAAACAGTAACCTCGGTGATAACATCGAAGGCAATTCCAACTGAGGTTACTCCACAGTTGGTGGAGGAAATTTCGGCGCTTCCTACTCCACCAGTCGATAAACCAGAAGTCGCTGAGAGTGTGATTCAAGTACCTTCACCGGAGATTCCGATTGTCGAGGCTATAAAAGAGACGGTACTTGACAAACCGGTGGAAGTCCAGCAGACCATCATACAAACTGTGACGACTCCGGTTGTGAGCGTCAGAGAAGTGAAAAAGGTTACGGAAGAACCGGAAACGGGTCAACCACTTACTACAATCGAAATCATTGAAAAGACTGTGACCAAACCGGAAGATGTCAAAGAAGAAACCGTCAAACAGGAACTCCGAGAACCAAAAACTGAAGAAGTGCTTCAAAAACCGATGCAACTTAACGGCGACGTCAAACGCAAAGACATTAACATAATCACGCAAGAATTCATCACCTCTCAACAATATCACGAACCACAGGGAGAAATTAAGCAAACAATAACAATCAAGACAGAAATCGAAGAACCAGTTTCACCCAAGGATCAAGAGAAGATAAAGGAATCCCCTAAAAAGGAAGATTCGGACGTTCCAAAAACCCAAACTCCAGGTGTCGAAGAACCACTTAAACCTCAAAACGTTGAAATCGAACTTTCCTTGCAAGAGAAAACGCCAACTCACGCTGCTGAGTTTGTCCCCCAGCCTGTTGAAAAACCAAAGGAAACTCCTCAGGAAGTCGAAATCGCTCTATCTTTAGAAGAAAAACAACCAGATGTCACTCTTGTGTCTCCACAGGTTTCCATGACCATGACTTTTGAAGAAAAGACATCAAAAACTACTCCCGCTGAGTTGATCCAGAAAGATATTCACGTGACTCTTCCTGCTGTGACTCATTCTGCAACAGCTACCGTCAAATCGGTCGCTTTGTCGCCCATGTTTCCTCAAGTAGAGCATCAACAATCCGTCGCTACTGCCCCGATTACTCCGAAACTAGAAAGCGAACATATCGAGTCACCGACGCCTAGCGATATTGACCACGGTGGGCGAGGCAGTAAAAAGAAAAAGAAACATAAAGAAGAATCTCCCAGTGAAGAAATCGAAGAAGAAAAAGAAGTGTCGATCGCGACTTCAGTTGCTGAATCGACTGAAATCATCGTACCTGATGATTCACTACCGTCTGAAGAAACTCCCAAACCTACCGAAGAAGTGTTCGAACCGGTGACGGAATCAGAAGAAGAGGAAGAAGAGGTTAAAGACACGGGTTATGAAGCTGACAAAACAACAGTCGATGAAAGTTTGGCCGATGACGATACCCAAAAACAAAAGACAAGGCGAAAGAAAAAGAAGAAGCAGAAGGTAAAAGTGAAGGAAACGGAAGAATCAAATATACCGAAATCGGCGTATGAATCGTCACCATTTGGCGAATCGGTAGCTCTGACTGATGATGAACCTGTTAAAGTCGCAGAGGTGAAGGTCGAAGAACCGAAGAAAGCTAAAAAGAAACGTAAAGGAAAACGCGGAGAGACCAGGCCAGAAGAAGTAGACTCAGAGCAAGCGTTACCAGAAACTCAAACTGAAGAAGAAGTACAAGAAATAGTGGAAATGGAAGTACCAATAGAAGAACCAGCTGAAATTAAAAAAGAAGAACCGACGATTCAAGAAGCACGTGATGTAGAAATCGTCTCACCGAATGATTCTTATCACACTTTGTCCACTCAGTCGGATTTAGGTACCGTTAAAATTGTCGAAGAGGGTGTCCTTAGACCTCTGAGCGAATCACCTCAAGAAATAACCGAGAAAATCGTCACAACCGTTCCTATATTAGAAACTGTTATTACTCAAGAATCCCTCTCTCAGACTTCTCCAGAACTCAATCAAGTCGTGCAACAGTTCATCGAACACGAACAAGTAGCCACCGAACCCGTCTCAGTTCAAACTTCTCCAGAAGTACCGAAAGAAGTTGAAGTCACATCCGTACAAACATCACCTGAGCCGGTACCCGAAGTAATCAAACCCGAAATACAAGACAGTTCGAGTCAAGTCGAAATTGAAACGACTGAAATTGTGACCCAGACGGAAATACCCGAACAAGTTGAGAAAGTCGAAGTGGTTACCTCTGAAGCTTCAATGCAAACTGCCACTCCCGAGAAAGTTGCTGTTGTTGAAGAAGAAGCCCAGACCAGTTCACCCGAAACCGTGGAAATTCCTCGAAGCGAATCAGCTATGCAAACGACGATTGTTGAAAGTCAAGAGGAATTCGTACAAACGCAGTCACCTGACATTCAATTTACCGAAAGCGCGGTACAAGCACAACCGACACCTGCCGATCATTCGATGCAAACATCCCCAGAACCATCGGCGCCTCCATTTGAGGAAGTTTTCGCGGAAGAAATAGCGTCTGCTCAAGAAGTGGAAGTGACGCCTCCAGCTCAGGAAGAACCTTCACTTGAAGAAGTACCACCCATACAAGAGGAAGTGTCAACTGCAGAAGTACCACCAGTTGAAGAAGTAGTTCAACAACAACCGTCGCCTCAAGAAGTACCTCTCGTTCAAGAAGTACCTGTCGTTCCTGCTAAAGAAATTCCCGAGACGTCTGAGACAGTTACTCAAACTAGTCCCGTCATGATTCACGACATTAACGAATTAACGCCTCCTAGTAGTCTGTCCGAGCAATATGAAGTACACGTTGAAGCCTCAGTGACGGTACCATCTGAAAGCACCGAAAGCGAACAAACACTCGGACCGGTACAACCTAAACCGGTCACTGAAACTGAATCTGAAGAATCATCACGTTCTGACGTTGACGTAGAGGTTTCCGTTGACGGTGAACCCGTTCGTAAACCCCGACGAAGACGCCGTCACCGCAAAGCAAAGAAAGACTCAAAAGAATCAGTTCCGAGCATCGAGAAAGATTTCTTGTCTGCATTCCAACGCAAAGACGACGGTGGACTCTTAGATCCCAAAGAACTTTACTCAGAAGTGGCAAAAAGACACTCGAGGTCATCGTCACCGGTACGACCTGAAGAAAGCGACGAAGCTATCGTTGTGGGTAAAGTGATTACAGATCTAGATGAAGATAAAGTGAAGAAGCTTGCAAGCAAATCGAAATCGACAGATGACGGTACTTTGAATGTGACTGTTGAAGTGGTACCAACGGAGACGCCATCTACTAGCCCGGACGATTTCGAAGTCGTGACTGAAGATGTGGTGACGAAACGTCCCGGCGAGAAGGATTTCGAAATCACGTCGACCGTTAAAGTGGTGACTCCAGAGGAGAGTCGCGAGTTTGTTACTCGGGAGCAGGTTTCTACGGTGAGGGTCGAAGCACCGAAGTTTGGTGTGGCAGATTTTCTTGCGAATGAGAGGGCTGCTGCTGAAGTGACTCGTCGAGAGAAAGATGAACCTGACAAGAAGGAAGTTTTGGTGCAAGAATCGACTATCACGACCCAGGAAAGTGGTTCGAAACAAGAACCTCACCTAGATAAAGATGAACAAGTGGAGAATGTAATTGAAATACGTGTTACTGCAGAAATTCAACCTACATCTACCGAAACGGTTGATTTAGAAACGAAAGAATCGAAGCATGACGTTGAAACAAAACCACAAGTTGCTGAAAAGGTGAAAAAAGAACCTAAACAACCAGTAGAGGATGTTAAGAAAACACAACAAGAAGAGCAAAAACCGGTTGTGGAAGTGTCAGTTTCTGAGGTGGATCTAGAGACGAAAGAACTGAAGCATGAAGTTGAAATGAAACCAGAAGTTGTGGAAAAAGTCAAAGTTGAAGAGCCTGAACAACCTTTAGTGAGTACAAAGAAAACCCAACACGAAGATGAAAAACCGGTTATAGAAGTGTCAGTTTCTAAAGTGGAAGAAGTTTCACCCGCTGAACAAGGTAAAGTGGAAACACTGAAACCTCTAGGAAAATCGGAGCAAGACCAAATTGAAGAAAAACTACCACAACTTCCGGAAAAATCCGAAGACCTGAAACCCTCCGATCAAATTAAGAAAGAAGACCTGAAACCTACAGACAAATCAACGCCAGAAGAAACTAAACAAGTAACAACAGTCGAAATTAAAGAAGAAAAACCCGAAACCGCACAACAACCAACCATTGAAGAACCGACACCAGAATTTCCCCAAGATATTAAAATGCCTGAACACAAAGTCGCAGCAATCACCACGGCTCCAGAATTTTTAGAAAAGATGAAAACGGACGAACTTCACCAATTCGCCACTCAAACCACGACTCCAGGAATCCCCAAACAAGTTTCTCCTGAAACGAAAGAACGGCTTTCCCCTGAGACAAAAGAACGAAAACCGAAATCGCCTTCTCCTAAAACGAAACGCAAACCTAAACATGTCTCGTCTGTGACCATCGAAGAAGTAGAATCCCCGATACGCGCTCCAGAACTTCCTATTTCACCTCCCGCCGATTATCCCTTCTCTCCTGAGTACTCACCCCATAAACCTGTTTGGCAGAAACGTCAACAAGCGTCCGCCCAGTTAATAGAAAGTGAACGACAACGTAGTCCTGTCACTGTACAAGATCTGGACATCAGGTGGACTCACACACAGGCCCTCGAACGGGTGAAGAATTTGCAGAACGCTAGGAAAACCACACATTTGAGTGACGTTTTGTATTTGGCGACTTTGCACGAGGTGGTGACGGATGAGTCGATAGAACAGAGGAGTTATGCTGTGCAGGAAAAACTAAACACACTGAAAGAGGCAGTGGAGAAACGGGACGCTGTGATTATCCAACAAACGATTATCACCACAGTGGAAACGATTACGACTTGGTTGGAGACTATCGAGTATCGCATTTACGTGAATAGGCAACAAACTGCTGACGGGCCTTCGAAAGAAAGAGTGCAAGAGTTCAACAACTTGAAAGAAGAGATTGTAAATATCGAGGATAAAGTTGGGCAACTGCAATCAGTGATGAGACAAGCTAATGACATTTATAACGAAGACGACAGACAGCGCATGAAGAGCTATATAGATTCGCTTCAACAACAAGTGAAAGTCATTGAGGAAGTCACTAGTGAAAACGAACAACTGGCCGCTGGTGACTTAAAGAGATGGGAAGAGTTTGTCGCCGGAGTGACCGAACTCACAGGTTCCATTGAAAAACTAAAGAAACAACTCGACGATTTGAAAGAATCAGATGCTGCCCCTCAAACTAAACTGAACGAATTGGATAAAATCGAACACACGAATCGTTGCAATATGTTGAAAGCTGTCCACCTCATAGCAACAGCTAAAGGTCTAATGCGCGACTTCCCCACCCGAGAAATCCCGAAGGCCGTTTACAGTAACCACGAAAGTACGAAGTTGACTGAACAGCAAATCGTGATCGAAAGAGAAAAGGCTTTACAGTTCCTTTCTTTAGCGGATGAATACGAGCAAACTCTCAAAGAGTTTGGACAGATTATTGATGTAGCTGAAGCTCTCGTCGAAAGTCCTATTAATGTGAGTAGTTTGGAACATCTAGAGGATGCTATGCAAAACCACCGCAAGTTCTTCGTGAATTTGAGTCATTGTAGGGCTATACTTGAATCCCTGGAAGAGAATCTTGACTCAGAAACGCGTCTGCAACACTCGGAGCTTCATAGGAATTTGTACGATAGAGCGAAAGTGATTTTGGATCAAGCCACTGGAAGGTTCCAGCAGATGTCGCTGGCGGCTTCCCGATGGACAATTTTGGAACAAGGAATGAAAGAAGAGATGAGGTGGTTGCAGGTCGCACAACAAAGAGTACCAGATTTGAGTAACGTGACGTCGTCGGATTATGACCGATTTATCGATTTGTATCAGTCTTTGGCGCTTGATATAGCACACCATCAAGCTAGAATTGCCCATTTGAATGGAGTCGCGCAGAAGCTTCAAGAACTTGTCGTGTGTTCTGGTCTAGAGGAGGCTTATATGGAATCGTTGGAGATCATTTTGAAGTTGCAGGACGACGTCCAGAACAACTTGAAGAGATTAATGGCATTCCGTGATTTGTGGACGAGTTATAATCTATTGAGTGATAAGATTGAGTACTGGTTGAGGGATGCCGAACAACAATTGCAACTATTGGAAGTCCCGGGACCTAGAGGCCATATGAGACAATTCTGGGAATTGAAAGCCCAACACGAGGTGTATAATGGTACTCGCCAGGACGCCACCAACAACCTCGAGAAGGCCCTCCAGGTCGTACCCATCTCCGACGAGATGATCCAGAGGAAATTCCACACCGAAATGCAAAACCGATGGAACAAGATTTCCGCAAAGATCAACAACATTCAGTCAAACATCATCGGAACTATCTCAGCCACTGACGTTCCCATAAATGACAAACTCCTCCTTTTGGGACAAGAACTCGAGGACTTAAAATCCGACGTAGAAAACTTACGAGGGGTTATTAAAACCGAAGAAGAACTAAATCTGTATATAGAACGCCTCCAGGTGATGTCTACACGTTTAGAAACCATCCAGAACGAACTCGGACGGTTGGGTCTTCTCTCAGCCAACGAGTCCGACAAAGTCGGTTCTCTCCTAGCCCTCTCCAAACGCTTGGAAATCCAAATCGCCGAAGAACTCGAAGGCGCCACTCTCCTCAAAGAGCGCCTTCAAAACATCCACAAAGGCATCTCTAGAGTGCGTCGCAAGCACGTCTCTTTGAACGAAATCCTCGACCAGTGCGAACAAAGCGAGAAAATGGGTAGCGAAGCCGTCGAAAAGGCCGTCAACGATACCTACGAAGTGGGTGAGGAGCTTCTCACCCTCTGGCAAGACCTCATGGGTCTTCGCCAGCTCCTCCACACTCTACCCATGCGTCTTCGCATCACCGTGTCCCCCGTCACCGTCGAGCGCGACATTTCCCAGCTTCAGGACGACCACACCGTCTTGGAGAAGAGGTGCGGTCAGCTGCTGGCGCTCCTCCGGGGTCGACTGGCCCTGTGGCAGCGCTTCGAGCAGCAGCTGGAGCTGGTGCAGCAGAGCGTCCAGGAGGCCGACTTTATGATGGAACTGCTCACGGTGCAAGGAACAGTCGATTACGACAGGTTGAGGAAGGCGACGGAGAGGCTCGAGGTGAGTTGTCTTTGATTTATTGAAACAGCCGGAGCGATAAGCGCGGCGAAAATCACAACAGTTTTAGTTTGTTGGTCGGAACGGTGCGTGTCTGATGTTAATTGCTGGATTTAAGAAATGAGATTTGTTGGGGTTTCGAGTGCGAAATTGGCGAAATGACGGTTGGAGTGGGTAAAATTGGTGATGATGTAATGTGTGGTTTTTTAATTGCGGTGATAACGTACTCGATTTGAATTTATAAATAAGTGTTAGAATGGCAGAGGCGCAGTGATAACATTGTTTTCGGAGTTGGAAAAAATTCGTTTGGGTGAGTTTTTCGTTTTTATTTTGTATGGGTATTTTTATTTAGAAAAAGTCAAGTTCGATTGTTACGGTAGTCAGGTGGTAACTCGGTTGTGTGTTTAACGGAGCTGCTCAGCGGAAATGACAACGTCTTACGGTATAAATATTTAATTTTCGTTAATTTATTTATGGTTGGTTGTAATTCATGCAAATATAACGGATGGAACGCGGTTAAAAGGGAAAATAAGTATCGTAGGTTAACACACAAGGTTGTTTTTTGAAAATGTCCTAATTTTGCCACGCCAATCGCCACATACGCTGTGAAAATTTTTCACTCGAGCACGTTTAGAAATCTGAATGATTTTCGAGTACTCAGAAATTTTAGAGCATTCCAGAATTCTTCAATTAGATAGTTTTATAAAATTTTTCATTTTCTTCCGATATTTATTGTATATTCTGGATTCTGGATTCTTAATTTATGGGGGCTGACCGTGGCCAGATATTTATTGTATAATTGTAAATTCTTTCATTTATAGTTTCGGGTATTTTTATCTTCAATTTTATGTTTTCATATTCTGAAATTGTGTAATTTTAAATGTTAATAATTATGTAGGTTACCAACGGTTTTCTGAAAACTAAAAGTATGTGTAAAATATGCAGCAATGGACGCAGGATAAGTAATCATAATTTCAAATTGAGGTCTCAATTTTAAGAGTAAATTTTTAATATACAATATACAGTGTGTTTGATCAGTGAATAGAAATTTACTATAGAACAACATTTAAAAACTGGAACACGCCTACGTTCTGACTTAATAAAATAATAGTGTGTGTGCATCCGAACAATAAAAAAAATTGAATATTCATTGTATCCATCAAAATAATTTTTGAAGTAAAAGTGTATTTTTTACCAATAGTAACTTGCAGAGGTCATTGAAGTATTTCTCACAGGAAATTAAAAGTGACATTGACACAAGATCAGAGGTGACAGACAATGTGACATGAATTAAAAAAATGCATATACAGGGTATATTCAATAATTACATTTTTTATACATTAAGATAAACTATGAAAATTCGGAACATTTGTAGATATATTATTCAACAAAGAATATCGATGTTTTATTAAATACACCGAAAATATTTTTAAAACTTTCTGTTTTTTTTTTTTTTTTAATTTGTATAGACTATCTACAATTATTAAAATAAACACAGCCATTAAAAACAATTTTGTCCGTAACTGATTTAACTGATAATTTTGTGGGTTGGAGATTATAGCAATCAAAATGAGCATTTCTTTAGCTTGATTTTTATCATTTTGTGTACATGTGGTTTAATGCGTGGTTTCACGTCCGGTCCGTGTCTTGATAATTCTTGACAGACAGTCGCTGTTAATTTAACAGATAAATATTATATCTACAATTTTGACAAAACGATGTTTGAAGTTCAGTAAAGTGTTCGTAGTAAATCTAAGATAGAAGGCCTCACTTTAAGTGTAATATTAATAGTAGGTTATTTCAATCCTCTTGAAAGTGTTTTAAAAATAATCGACCCAACGAAATTACTTGCGTAGTTAATCTGAAATGGTATTTTTCGTGGAAAAATAAAAGTTGTTCCGAATCTGAAGAGCCCACTTTAATTGTTTCGCGTATCATGATAATTTTCGTAACAAAAATCAAAAATTCTAGAATTTTTAGAATCTAGTGTATTTAATAATGTAAATATTATCTCCTTTAAATAATACACCGACGTTCCGAATTTCAGCAGTTTATCCTAATAAATTAATTTATAAATTCAAATATAGATAGGGGGAGGTAGTTTTTAAGTTCAGTATACAGGAGATCACAAATGTGACATTAAATTTAATATGACGAAAAATCTTGACAACTCCAACAAAAACTCATACGCATTTGTTTAAGCTAAAATTAATTTAAGATTAAGATTAACCCCTACCCATACCTGCCCTGATCTAAATAGTAATGAAGTTTTCATTCGTTGGCAGACCTATATTTTGCCTTTTTTATTTAATATACATAGTATTCTTTGAACAACACGATACTGAAAACCATGTTTTTAATTTCTTGTAAAGAAACAAGTATTGTGCAGTTAAGCTCCGCCCCCTTGGTTCTAGGCGAATAAAAAAAATCATCAGGGCGGGTGGGCGGGCTTACACTTTGCTTTTTTGTTTTAATATGTGTAGACTTCTTTTCACAACAAGAAACTTAAAACATGTTTAAAATGGAAATATTCTAAAAGGAAATATCGATTTTGCAGTTAGGCTCCGTACCATTTTAACCATGTTTTAAGTTTCTTGTTGTGAAAAGATGGCTATGTATATTAAGACAAAAAGGCAAAATATAAACCCCACCCACCCGCCCTATCCCAATTCTGATGATTTTTTTATTCATAGTGAGCCAAGGGGCAGAGCTTAATTGCAAAATCCTTATTTCTCTACAAGAAATAAAAAAAAATTAATATCGTGTTGTTCAAGGAATATTATGTATGTATATTAATAAAAAAACAAGCCAAAAATGTAGCCCCACCCATGTCCATCCCAATGTCAGTTGTGATGAATTTTTCAATAGTTTCAATAGTGAGACCGAGGGGCGGATCCTAGATAATTGCAAAATCGATACTTTCCCGACTTTTGAAAACGAAGTTTGAAAATTTACAAGAAAAATGGCCTTATTAAAAAAAAATTGAAATATTAAATAAGATACAATTAGTAATATGTAATTATTTCATTTTAGGACTTCAAAAAAACTATTTTAACCGAAATTAGCCGAATTCGTATTTTTTGCATTTCTCGAGATCCAGATAGTGGTAGATAAAATGATTAGTATTAGTTCACAATTAACAAAAAAACAAAGCATATTGCAAGAATTTAAAACGATAAATTGGGGCCCAAACCTGTATAACCCGCCCCCCGAACTCGACTTGTCATTGAATTAACTTCCACCTGCAGCGGCTACCATGTAAGAAACAAGTGACTGGGAAACAAAATGTGAGACACCCAGTATAGTATTGACTGAACTTGACTGCACACACACACACATTAAACACCCTGTATAAAACCTCACTATTCAAAGCAATGATGCATTACAAAGGAATGTCATTACCGTATAAACTCCACAAATCAGTGTAATTCGTCCGCTAAGTCAACGTCTAAACTTCAAAATATTTATCCACCTAATTAACCCGGCCCCATTATCTTATCAGCAAGCACTCTTCACAAACACATTATACATCTCAACGCAAATAACATCATTACCAAATCGCGCACCACCATGTCGTATGACGACCCCGTGACTCATCCCACTTTCTCATCCTCCAGAGCGTCTCCGTGGACCTGAGCTCCCGCGAGTCCCTCGTGGCCGAGCTGAAAGCCGTCGCGAAACCTCTCGCCGACAGCTGCGCTCCCGAGATCTCGGCGCGCGTGGAAGCCGCCGTCCAGGAGGCCGTCACCGCCTACTCCACGACCTGCAGCAACCTCAAAGACCTGTGCACCAGGTATCAGCATGCCGCCGAATTGTGGAAGCGCTACCGCGAAGCCAGCGACCTGGTGACCGAATGGGTGGACAACCACATGGAGTCGGTGGGCGACCTGGAGCCGGAAGAGGCCATCAAGGCAGTTAAGGTATGTGCTTAGCTTACCACCGACGACGGATATTTTTAAACCCTCGAACCGATTCGAATTCGATTCTCCCCTCAGTTAGTGTTCGCGCGCCGGTCCAGACGCAGCCTCTTCGCTGCGATCGATGCGCTTAAAGAGGAACGTACGGTATATTTTTGAGTTTTGTGAGATTGGGTTTAGTGCGAAATTTATAAATAACGCGCGGGCGTTGAGCCAGATCACGTTTTCGAGAGTTGCGGTGGGTTTGTCGGCCGGAAGACGGGAAAATTTTAACGATTTCAAAGGAAGTTTTCACGTTCTTGAGATATTTTAATTCGCGAGTGCCGGTTGACTTTTCTTGATTGTTTGTTAGTGATGGGTTTGTAATTATTTGCATGGGAATGGACGGTTAGTTTAACGGGTTTGTGGGAAACGGTGTGATAATTGTGCCTTTGTAGTAGGAATAGTTTATTTTGCGATAGATGTGTTCGCCGGAGGAGCTGAAGGTGAGGGTTTTTTTGGGGATAGATTGACGAGCTTTTGGGAATGACATGGTGAAATGTTGGCGCAATCGCCGGTTGTGAAAGTGCGTGTTTTTCATTCATGTGTTCTATCCTTCTTTTGCGTGCGCTATTTTTGCGAACGTCGGCTTTACGTTCCCCTCGTCCTGTTTTGAATGGTATATTTCGAAACGAGTTGATTATTAATAAGTTTGCTTTATCTGTGTCCAAGTAATGAGATAATACCTATTATAAAACTGAGTTGTTATTGTCACAATTAAAAAAAAAAACTGAAACGATTTGAGACCTTTTTAAAACATTAATCCTCAATAGAAAAAAAGTACTAAATCAAATGAATTGTTTTTATTAAACAAAAACATAACATAACATAAACAAAATCAGCTGAATTCTGTCAAACAGTTAAAAAATAGTTGAAGTAGACATGAGACGTTTTCGTTTATATGTATATAAATTTTTTTTTTGTTATACAAAGTAACGATAAGTAAAGCATTGGAAACACAAAATCTTTTAATTCAAAATTTAATAAAATAATAATAAAAATCAAAAACTGATTAAACTGCGTAGGGACGGCATTTTATTTTACTTCGTCTTAGAAGTTTAGGATTTAACTTCGGAGTCGTTCTTATGGAATTATCAGTACATTTTCAGAATTTAATATTTCCAGTTTTTCAAGTTTACCACAATGTTTTTTTTTAATTTTGGTGAAAATGTTCATCACGTATCTTTAAAAATCAACATCTCAATTATTAACGGGAATTTCGGATCGCGGTTTTTACCACTGTGTTCCGTTTACAAAATTCTATAAATAAATCTTTCCAAAAACAATGTCGATTTTTTTCACAAATGAAATTCAGTCAAATCAGATTATGTTGAACAAGTAGCAGGTAGAATCCCCCGTAGAGACCTAAATTTGATTGTACCGTCAAACTTTTATTTTAGTAAATAAAAAAATTGCAAGAGCAGTTTGGTGGGTATAAGTAAAAAAATATCAAACTGCAACATGATGAAGGAATAAATTTCAGTTTGTTGAATTTGGTTTTACAACTACTTGCAGTAATAAAATTATTTCGACGAAGTCAAAAAGGCAAAAAAAAAATTCAAAAGTGCATGGTTAAATTTTAAGAAATTTTATTTCTCTTTAAAAGATTGTTTTTGAAATAATTCTAAACTTTCTTAAGAAAGAACTTTCCCTCTTTTAAAAAGATGTTTTGTTTCGGCAGGTAGCCGAAACAAAACATGTAATTTGGTATTTTATTAAATATTTATGTCAGGTAACAAATATTAGTAGGAAAAATTTTCAAATTTTTACGTCATGGGAAATTTTTATGTTTATATTTGTGATAAATATACTCGTAAATAAGTACACTTGTATGAGTTACCTTTGCATGTATACTTCATATCAGCTTATGTCACATTACTCATTTGTTTATAATCTGAGGAAAATGTGTAAATGAAATTTTATTTATGACGACTAACTGTAAATCTTACCTTTTATTATTAACAAAAAATGTATTTAACTTTCGACGCAGAGTTTCATAAGAAAAAATTTATTTACAGGTGGAATCATAACTTGAAATTTCGATATTTTTGAAGTTTATTGTAACAAATTAAACTATGAAGTGTAAATATTATACACTATATATCTATAATATTGTACATTACATGAAAAAATACGTTTATCTAAGAAAATAATATATCCAGTTCAATATCCCCCTGCTTACTAATTTTAACGAAGTGTTTTTTTTTTCAATTTTTGAAATAGTCGAAGTCATTTTCTTGTAGATTTCGATATCCAGAAGTCATTTTCGGCTTCATTTCTTCGGAAATTCCTACCGTTTTTCCAAAATGGCCAACTGAAATATAGCAATTTTTACAGTTCCGTCAAAATAGCTCGGTATAAAAATTTTGTAGATAAAAATTATTAATTTCTGTTTCACAAAATATAATTATTTTAAAAATGTACTTTGTGGTTTTTATATATCCACAGAAATGTTTAAAATTTGTTTATTTGAGACAATAGACTAGTCAGAAAAGGTCTGGTCACGTTAGGTCAAGTCAGGTCACGTACATGAAATAAGAAATAAATTTTATAGCAAATAGTATAAAAAAAAGTTACGATTGGCGCTTTTGTTTTGCTTTTTTCACATTCGTGTTCCACTCCCACACAAGAGAAGAACATAATTAGCCCCGCCCACCCACCCTGATTTTATCCGGTCTAAATGAAATGAATAATCTTATACTAAACAGAAATAAAATTAGACGTTAGAATAAGAAGAGGGGGGTGGGTGGGGCTAGTATTTGCTAAGATAAAACTGATTTTGGCAAATAACATACCCTTCAAGAGAATGGAGGGTGGGTGGGCGGGGCTAGTTTTGATAAGATCAAACTGATTTTGGCACTTTTAACATTTTTGAACCATTTTTCAACCATTTTCGAAATAGTTGAACTCATTTTCTTGTAGATTTCGATATCCAGTGTTTGAGTTAATTTTGGGACCCCAGTTTTTTTGAAAAATTTAAAACAATCTTGAGGTTCTAGGTATTCCTGTTTGGAAAGAATTTGAAGCTGATAATTTAATTCAATTTCTTAAAGTATAAGTCATTTGCCAAAATCACTCTTATTTTAGCAGGTACTAGCCCCGCCCACCTCTTTTCTTAGAGGGTATGTCATTTGCCAGTCAGTTTTATCTTAGCAGGTGCTAGCCCCGCCCACCCGCCCTTTATTCTCGTAGAGTATCTCATTTGCCAAAATCAGTCTTCTCTTCGTCTGCGAGAAATTGGAAAATTAAAAACTGAAAAATTCTAAAATCCTAAAATTGAAAAAGTGAAAATTTTAAAAATTATAGTTATTACACATTCAAAATGAAAACTAAAAAAGTTGCATAATCAAAAATTGAAGAAACGAACAATTAAAATTTATCTAAAAGTTGAAAAATCGATTTTTAAATTTGTTTCTTCAATTTTGCGATTTTTGAAATTGTTTGGGTTTTTCAATTATCATATTTTTACTTTTACAATTTGTCGAATTTTAAGTTGTCTGTTTTTCGATTTTTAGGTTCTCAATTTTTATTTTGTAACTCTTCTTTTTATAATTTTTAGATACTTTTTCACTTTTTAGCTTCTTCTTTACGAACTTACCATTGGCGTTTTTTTTTACTTTTTTGATATCCATTTTCCACTCCCACTCAACAAAAGAACATAATCAGCCATAGATTTTATCCGGTCTGAATGAATTGAATGATCTTATACTGAACATAAATAACATTAGTCGTTAGAATAAGAAGAGAGAAGGGGGGTGGGGGGTGGGACTAGTATTTGCTAAGATAAGACTGATTTTGGCAAATCACATACCTTCCAAGAAAATAGAGGGTGGGTGGGCGGGGCTACTAGTTTCGATATCCAGAAGTCATTTTCGGCCCCATTTTTTCGGAAATTCCTTCTTATTCCACTCCCACTCAACAGCTAGAACACAGCAATAACTGACATAAAATAGTGAATTTTTGATCTGCCTGCTCAATTTATTTCGGACATTTTTAAAAAATTATTTGTTTTCGTTTATTTTAACAGGTGTTTCAAAATTGCAAACTGCAAATTTATAAATTTTTATTTACACTCCCATTTTTATATTTTTTAATTTACAATATCCGCAACATTATTTTAAAATTCTCAAGAACTGTGTATGATGCTTCGATTTTGTGAAACGTTAAAATCATAATTTTTACGATCATAACCATAGAATTTAAATATTTGAGATTTACCTGTGAGAAATTTAAAATTTAATAATTTTTAAAATTTTCATTTTAGGTTATATGTAGGTACAAGGTGAGTTAGCTAAAAGGAGCCATATCAAATAACTTATAATATGAAATAATTAATAGAAAGCGAAATAATAGTATTAAAAAAAATCGTCACATTCATTTTTTTTTAATTTATCTAAATTTTTATTTTGTTATAAAATTGAAAAAAAAAACTCTTCAAAGTTCAATATTTATTTATTTATTTTAAATTGCAATAATTTACGACTATTAAATAGTGAAGCTAATAAAGCTGATTTTTTACATTTTTTGAATTAAAAAAAAAACTGAAAAATAAAAAAGTTAAATGGTATTTCTGCAATATACTTTTTTCAGTAGCTTTTTTTAAAGCACTGAATTTATATATGCACACAGGCAATTATTCTACATTTGCAAATTTAATATCTATAATTTTGGCTAATAAATAAAAAATGTATTCGAGCTGACTCACCCTGTACATATAAATTCTTTTGTTTTTGTCCAACTGTATAACACCACCTTTTAAAAATTATTTAAAAATTGCATTGTCAGCTTTAGCGATACATACTCAAGATTTGTTAGAAAAAAAAATACAAATACATTACGGTTGTGCCCATCCGCGTTCCGCGAAGATTCCTTCCAAGTACTAGCGGTATCAGTATTAGAGCATAAAATCTAATTGCACCGGCTCGAATATCTGCATAAATGCAATTGTTATTTTAATTGCACACGCAAACATTTTTCTTCTTCAACTTCCCAACTGCAAACAACAACCCAGGAATTCATAGTCACGTTCCGTTTTTTCCCAGCTTCGATTATAAAAAAGTGTTTTTCAAAAGTCACCCGCCGGAAGCTAACAATTTCCGTCCGTATCGGCTCTGCCTCAAACCCAATTATTATGAATGGAAAGTGATTAGAAATCGCGTGCTCGCCCTAAATTATTCCCACACTTGTATTTCGATCTAATTGAAACTGGTCAAGGTTAATGGATGTATTTTCCAGGTTTGCGAGGAAACTCTGTCAGCTCATACCGAACGTCTGGCCGAACTCAAACAGCTCGTTTCGGGAATAGCTGCAGCGGTGGGATTAGATGCGAGCGCTCTTCTGGGAGGAGAAGTCGAAGCTTTGGGTAAAAGATTGGAAGATGTCAGAGAATCTCTTACTGTTTTGGCGGACGTCGCCGAGGCCAAAGCTCAGTCGCGCGAAGAAACCAACAACGAAATCAACGGCACTAGAACTTTCCTAGATAGCGTGCAGAGATGCGTGGATAACATAGAGCAAAGTCCGGATACTGACAGCGAAGAGAAGTTGATAACGCTACGTGAGCACCTCTTAGCTTTGAGCAAAGCGGAAGGACAGATTCAGAAAATCAAAGATAAAACGTTAGAGATGACGGAATCGACGCGAACGGAAACGTCGGTTATAGAAATATTGGAGTTGTGGCAGCAAGTCTTCCGGGAAACGTTCCAGCAGTACCACAGACTCAGTACTAGATTGATCAAAAACGAAGATGGTGCTGCGGCGCTTAAACTATGGCAGGAGTATCTGCTCAACGTGCAGCAGTTCCTCCAAGGTACTATTCCAGGTGATTACCACAGCCTTTCCGAGCACCAACACTTGTGTCAAGTCCACCAGAATCTCCTGACCACGCAGCAGAACGTTTTGAAACCCATAGATCAGAAAGAACCTCTAGGAAGTGGTTTAGTCGAAAGTAGCGTCATGGAACAGTTTAATTCCCTGACAAATCTCCACAACGAGACGTTGTCTAAAATAATGGAAAGACACAAGGAAGTTCAAGCACGTCTAAACGCGTGGGACGACTACAAACAAGACCAAAATAAATTGTTGACGTGGCTGAAAAACATAGAAAAGGACAGAGAAAAGATGCAACTTAAATACGTGCACATCAGACGCATCCCGAAATTGCTAACCCGAATCCAGAACCTTTTGAGCAAAATCCCACAAGGCGAAGAACAAGCCGATAACCTCCAGAAGCAGCAGAATCTCCTTCTGCAATTCTGTGACGACGCTTTAGCCACTTCCATCCGAATGGAACATGCAGCCATTAAACAACGAATCTCGAATCTGCAAGCCGGTCTTCAAACCTGGCACCAATTTTTAGAACGTATCACGTTTCTGCTGAAAACCCACGAAGACAACGTGCAGAAGGTTCAAACCTTGTACGAAGACATCCAGGAAGCCATAGCTGAAGCGGCTTCTCAAACCCCTACATCACATTCAGGAGTGAGCAACAAACTAGAAACCCTTCAACGTGCCAGAGTTCGCTTAAATAACGCCACTAAAGACCTGGAGCAACTAGGCCTCACCCAGGAGCAGCTCAAAGAGTGTTTGAGCCCGAACGACATCAAAACTATCAATCAAAGAATGTGGATTTTGTGGCACCAACAAGGAGATTTGGATCACCAACTCGCAGTTTTATGTCACCAGTTGGAAGAGAAACTCGGTTTGAGGTCGATGTTTGAGGCTAGACAAGCACGATTTGTGGCTTGGGCTGACGAAATTGAACGTCGTCTCGACGAAGAGAGCGAAGGCTCGATTTCGTCAATCAAAGACCCACACGAAATGCTGCGGAAGCTGGAGACTGAGCTCCAAGCGGAGATGAGTTTGAAAGAACGCGAATACAACTGGTTGGTGAGCACGGGGCGCGACCTCGTCGCCAATTGTGGAGAAGAATACAGCGACGTCACCGCTAAACAGATCCTTCAAGCTAAAACCGACGTGGTGCTCGAAAGGTGGGAAAGGTTAGACAACATCGGGAAGAGTCGGAGGAATAAGTTGCACGATATGATGCAGACGATGTCGCAACTGGAGCAAAGAATTGCGGAAATACGGGCTTGGTTGACACAGATTGAAGCCCAATTAGCTAAACCCTTAGTTTTTGAGGCGTCGACGAAAGACATTATTGAGAGGAAGTTACAAGAGCACGAGAAATTGAAGAAGTCGATTGAGAACGAGAGTGGCAATATTGGCGATGTGCTCAATTTATGCGAACTGTTGTTGAGCGATGCAGATGTTTGGAAGGCGCACTTCTCCACTGAAAACATCACAGCGGCTATACAAAACTTAGAGAAGAGATGGAAGGCCGTTTGTGGTCAATCCGCTGAAAGAAAACGCAAGATCAATTCAATCTGGAAGTTGTTACAAGAGGTGCTGAGGTTGAGCAACGAACACGAACCATGGTTGACTGAAAAAGAACAAAAGATCAAAGAATTAGATAAACCAGTGAAGAAACTAAATCGGGAGGAGATCCAAGAGTTGATTTACTTTGTCGAAAATCAGCTCAAGGATATAGAATCGAGGTCTCTCTCGTTTGAGATGTTGGAACAAACTTACTCGAAACTAGCGGTAGCGAGTGGTTTAGAACCCGAGAATATCCAGGAGTTGACATCTAAAGCTAGAGTTGTGATAACACGTTGGAATAATTTGCTGCCGCGCATCCATAGCCTTTTGAAACGCTTACAAGAGGAAATTGTTCTTTTCAAAGATTTTTCGTTAGCTCATGAAGACGCAGTGATTGGTTTGAGCAAAGTCGATGCTCAGTTGACCGAGCTTCAACATCTCACCACACAAAAAATGCCACCTAAAGAGCGCTTGCAGCAGTTAGAAGCCCTAGAACAACACCTGGGCTCCCAAAGTACTGTTCTCGAATCTGCAGATAAACTCGGTCTCGAGATTATGAAGAAAGTCAAGAAGAACGAGGTCGGTAAATACCAAGAAATGATCGACGAGTACCAGACTTTATGGAAGGACATCCAAATGAGAATTATCACTTTACGTAACGACCTGAAGAAAGAAATCAAACAAAAGAAACAACCAAAAGAAGTCGATGAAGGTGTTCAAGTGGAAACTTTGAAATTCGAGCAAGACACAGCAGTACAAGTTGATACTCTACCTCCGCTACAAAGAATGACTTCGATCAGTGCAAAAGACGCATACTTAATGGAACTCACCAGTGCAATAAACGAATGTCGTACTAACATAGACGAACTTGAAGTTTTACTAGCTAAGGAAATTCCTCAACAAGGATCATCCGAATTACCAACAAGTGCCAAAAAAATCGCCCGAGTTTCGGCGACGTGTCAATCGAACGTCGAGTTAGTAAAACATCTACACGACGTTCTTGTTAATGAATGTGATGCAACTGAAGAAGAAGCTCTCAGTGAAGAAGTTTACCTTTTGATTAGACGTTTCGAAACTCTTCTAGCCACCGCCAAGGAAAAGGAACAGAAAATAAGAGAACTGAGGTGAGATTCGTAGTGGTTTGATATTAACACGACTAACTTGGTGTTTGTTTTTTCTTTTAACTCTTCTTCAGGTCTGCCATTTCTGACGCTTATAAACTATCTTGTCAACAGTAAGTGTTTCGAAAGTAGTTAAAACCATGATTGACGATTTTGTTTTTGTTAATAGTGAGGCGGGACGACTCCTTTGTCCCCTGTGTACTAAACGCAACTGGGCCCAATTAGACAACGACCTCTGGAGACTGGAGAAATGGCTACAAGTAGCCGAAGGTACCCAAAAGAGTCAGAGTTCTCCACCATCCAACATCGAACAACTAGAAGACGTGATCCAAGACCATCGAGAGTTCCTTTTGGATTTGGACAGCCACAAGAGCATCGTTAGGTCTCTGAACATCGTCGGAACCCACCTAGCGGATCATACAGAAGACGTAGAACGCGCTCAGCAATTAAGAGCAAGGCTGGAAACGGACAACAAGAGGTGGGACACCGTGTGCAAGAATGCCACCACTTGGGAAAACCTTCTGCAGAGGGCTCTCATGGATGTACGTATCCACAATCCACACTCTTGTAGTCTGATTTGTTTCTTTACAGAACCAACAATTCCATGCCATCATCACAGAGCTGTGTGTTTGGTTGGAGAAAACAGAGCAGAAGATTCGAGCTTCCGAGCCGGTCGAGTTGACAGCCGATAGAGATATCATCGAAGCGAAGTTCCAGAACTTCCGAGAGTTGCGTGCCGAGTTAGAGCGGTGCGAGCCGAGAGTGATGAGCTTGCAAGAAGCTGCCAATCAGCTTCTGAGGCACGAGGAAGCGCCCGAAGGGTCCAGTTTGATCTGTACCCGACTGACCGAGTTGCGTCTGAAGTTGCAAAGTTTGATACGTCTCACGGGCGTTTATATTGTGAAGTTGGGGGCCGTGCTTGGAAGAGATCCGAACGAAATAGGTGCCGCTGTCGTCGCTTCTAATACTGTAAGCGCACCTCTCCACTATGACGTAAGTTTAACAAATCGTTGCGTTATTTTGTAACACGAAACGACAGTAGCGATGTCTAGTCGAATTGATTTTGTATTAGTTAGTGTTTTTTTAGTTGTAAATATATGATTTGACAAAAAAAAAGTATTGTGTGATTAACGTTTTTGTTACTTGTAGTTTTGTATTTTAAGTTTTGTTGAGTAGCACTGTTAGGATAAGATATGTCAAGGCACTGTTTCACATTTCATTTGCCTGTTTTGGACAGCTTCTGGACCAACCGAGCCAGGACCATCCATCTACCTCTGCACACGACGATTCTGCTCACAAGTAAATATTTTTTTTCTTTTATATAGTTTCTAGTTTCGATTTGCTTGTGCACTTGTCGTTTTTTTTGTTAGATAGTATGCTTAGTGGTTGTTTGCGTTTCAGTGGTGGTTCTTCAGATGATTTGGAAATAAACACGTCAGTCCTTCGAAGAGGTTGTCGTTTCTTAGGTAGAGTTGTACGAGCTTCTTTACCGATCCAAGCCTTAATGCTGCTCATGTTGGGAGCGGCATCTCTAGTCCCATATTCAGAAGACGATTATTCATGTTCGCTAGTCAACAGTATTGCCAACAGCCTAACTCCTACATTGCGATACAATGACGGACCGCCTCCCGTGTAATCTGATAATACTCCTCCCACCTTATTTTGTAGTCTCGTAAAAATTCATTCCAATTTAGTAATTTTAGTTGTTTATGTTTTGTACGATTTTTTTGTAAATACATGCGACTTAATTGTACTGGCAGCTGATACGTTTTAAAATATACGACGAGCCATCAAATGGCCAAAATCTATATGGAAAACATAACCTAGTGTAGTTTTTATATTCATTACGCAAGAGAGAATCACTTTTATCTGTATATTGGGGAAGACGCACAATATATATATTTTATATTGTTGTTTTATAAATTTTATGTGATGGTTGTGTAAGAAATTAAAGATTGGGAACCAAAGGAGTGGAACACTTTGGTTTTCAAGGCGATTTAATTTTTTTCTGTGATGTCACCTCGATTTACGTTACGCAAACGTAAACTTCTCTCTCCATTGTTTGCGTTTGTGGCAACTTTTCTCTCCAAAGTTGCGCGTAAACTAAACTTCTCCCGGTTTATTTTACCCACGTCGAAATCGAGGTGAGCAAATTTGATAATGCCTTAAATTTTTTTATTATATTGTTGCTTTTATGCGTTATTTTGTTTTATCGGTCATGGTGCTATCAACTTATTTTAACATGTAGAAGAGTCAAAAATTCCATTTTTGCTTTTGACCATCGCTTCGGATGTAAAATGTGTTTAGGAAACATTATTAAACGAAAAAAATAGGATTGTTTTCGCTATACTTTAATATTGATTATAGTATTTTATTTCGCAACTTACTATACGAATACGCTGTTTTCATTTATAAATAAATATATCATTTCAAAAATTAATTGGTATATTTCTGCCTCGCACCCTCTCCATTTTCCTCTTTACTTATCAGTTTTAAGGCAAAAAAGCAAATTTTCTCAATGATAATTCGTCACTGATGGTACCTATGTGAAATTCATCATGAGTTTGTCTATGTTATGCATGGTAAGATGCATAACAGATAAATGTTATGCATCTTACGTTAATTCCAGTGACGTCAGATAATTTTATTTAATACTTTTTTGATTTCATAAAATTATCACATAAATTAATGTTTTCTAAGTTTTTTGTCAGGCCTTTGTAATTTATGAAAATTGACTCTGTTGTATTGCAAATGACATCTTTAACAGAACAAAATGTTAAATTTCGAAGTTTAATTTTCCAGTAAATTATTGTTAGTTTATTTACCAGATTTTGTTGTTTTCTTTCTGCTGCATTTAAGTGTTCCCACACTTTTTGTAGTCCTTTTATAATAGAAAAAAATATATGAATTACACTATATATACCTATATCGGCATATTTTGTATAGTTTTGGAAATTTCATTGTACACTATAAAATTTTATTGACAATAACGAGACGGACAGTAAGTACAATGGTAAGAAATATTAATGGCCCACACCAGTCCATCCGAATTTGTCGGATAACATTTAGCAGGTATAATGCTCCAACTGCTGGTTCATTTTTATGACTGTATCCTATTGTGAAGGAGTAAAGTGTTCCACAATAGGCCTCTGCCGTAAGTAATCCAGCGGTCATAAACCATCAACGGACCAATGATTTATGGCACGGCTATTTACATTTTCAATAGAGTTCCTAATACTTGCGGTAATTGAGATTGCAGTGCCATAAGAACGAAGACAGAGTTGGATCAATATAGTTGTACTCATAAAATAATGGTCATTTTCGTTCGTGAGTAACGATGGTCCCTCTCCGGACCTGGATTATTCTGCTTTCTAACATCTGGGGATTACTGGCACGCGACAAATTTAAGTTGTAAATATCTCTTGCTATTGTACAGTTTCGGCCAGAAAATCTTGGGTAGTATTTTTCTGTCAAAAAAAAACACGATATAGTCTATGCTATATTGTCATAATGATCGACAGTTTAAAAAAATAAATTTTGACATACGTCATATAAACTTTGACATACGTCATCATCCACATTCCAGTCTACGTCAAAATGACAAACATGGCAAATTAGGGTTCTAAGTACGTAAAGCCTGTTTTAGAGCTCATGTCACTCGAATGACAGAACTGCCCAAGATTTTGTGGCCGAAACTGTAAGTACTACTGTTCGCCTTGTTATTGCCAATAAAATTTTATAGGGTAGAAAGAAATTTCCAAAACTATACCTGATCAGCAGAAATTTAAGGTGAGGAGCAACAAATGTGCAATGTGGCAACCATGGTAGAAGGAGACATGGTATAGGCATCCGATGTACCAATTTAAAAATGTTCTGCGCATCCATTTGTGACGTTAGGTGGCATCAACGACCTTGTGACTCTTGTGAGCTTCGCTAGGGAAGTCTAGGGAATTTCAGCTTGAGTTGTCATTGCCACAGAATATCATGATATTCTGTGTCATTGCTCTGTCCAATACGTGAATTAGTTGTCGGATAACGAATTGTATTTTAAATTTCGCGCTAATTTCACCCCACTTGACGTCACACCCGATGCGTATGCCTATACCATGTCTCCTTCTACCATGGTGGCAACCACTCTAAGCATTAAGGGCTTAAAAAAATCTAAACATAATTATTACGTTGCCTTCCATTTCCGCAAGTTATACGACTGTGTTATCACCATGGAGGAAGGAATATATATATTATAATATAATATATTCCTTCCTCCATGGTTATCACATACAAACCGACATTAAGCGGTGTAAAACCACCTTTACTTCAAATAAATTTAAATGAGCTCACATATTAAAGCTACGTTGGCAACTGTTCTGTAGCCGTATATTCTCTCATTAGAATTCACAAATGATGTAAATTTATGGATTTTTTAGTTCAAATTGTTAATAAAGTGGAAAAAGTAGAGCAAAGTAAAAATGACGTTTCTTACCGAAAATTTGAGGTTATGTTTTTTTATTTAACTGATTCTGCGCTCTTCAATGCATGAAACGAGCCGAAAGGTGTAATCTCTGCAAAAGGTAACGAGGACAATAAAATGATCGTATTTAATTATAAAATAATTGATTACGTAATATTTATAGTTGACATTAATATTGGACACATACAAAACATTCACTCGACAGATGAAGCAAATATGATCAATCAAAAACAGAATGTGAACAGTTCAATAAATTTGACACCGACTAACATATTGGGAATACATTTAGGACAATCATTTCCTGAAAAAAGAAACAGTAAATAATAACGATGAGCAAACTGCGTTTATTTATAGATTACAAGCATCCCTGCTAGCGAAAAGCTGTCCATTCCAACCCCATGTCTAGACAAACCCGTAAAACTCCCCCATCAAACCGCCCATCGTTCCCATCACGCGAAAATCAAGTTGGCGCGGTACAATTTACCCGCGCCTGGTGCGCCCTCTGCCGACTAGCTCCCCTACCAGTGGTTAGTAATGCCGTGGTGAACAATGGTGATTTAGTGGTGTTTTGTCGCCCTTTTTAGCTTTTTCAACCCTTTGGGCGTCCCATCTCGCGACCACGAACCCTCCAAGGGCGTTCCGACGTTGGCGTGATGGTGATCGGCGTGTGCGTCATCGCGGAAAAACAGTTGAAAGTGGTGACAAATCGGCTGGTGTTTCGTTACTTTCGTTAATAATTAAAGGACACTTGTGGCTAATTGCCGCTGGGGGTGGGCCTGTGAACGCGAAGGGGTTGTTCTTGGCGTGTGAGGGTGGCGGCGGCAGAGCCGGCCTAGCAAATGGCGCCCGATTCAAATGTCAATGTAAACAAACAAACGAAGAGGTGCTAAGATGGAGCCGATTTTGCAGAGGTTTGGGGATGTCACCATCCAGAGGCTGGAGAAGCCGAAAGTGGGACCCCCGGGGGATGGCGGGCCCGTGGACAAAGGGAAAGAGGAGAAGGAAGAGTCGAGTGGACCAGAGGACGAGAGCAACGACGAGACCATCAACTTGAAGAGGTCCTTTCCAGAGTCCCAGATCTCCATCAAGAAGTTCAAGTTTGACCCCAGTACGATAACACTTGAGAAGAAGCCGGCGGAAGACACCGCGAGTGAGTTAAAAAAGAGTGATGATTTGGAGAAACGAAAAGTGATGACTAGTGATGAAATGAACTTTAGTGATACAGACATTTCGGACTTTGAAAGTGAGTCGGAACTGGAATCGGACGGGGAGTTGGGACCTAGTGTAAAAGACGCGGGTAAAGTGAACTCTGACGACGAGTTTAGCACTTCCTCTTTTCTCGACAAGCTAGTGGACGATGAATCATTTGCACCTTCAGAGCCTGAAACTCCTAAACCCGCAGAGAGCAGTACGACTGATAACGAAGACTACGATTTCGACATTAAAGAAAAATTAAAAGAAATGGGGGAAATAAGCTTCCAGACTGTTAAAAAAGGGGAAGTGAAACCCAAAAAAGTCGAAGTTTCGACAGAAAATGAGGTTGTAGTAACACCTGCTCGAAAACCAGGTAAAAAAATAACAATCTTAACCCCACTTTATTCATGTGTGATTTTAGGTACCAACGATGACGATGTTTCCGAACGGAAGGGGCTAAATCTCCGGCGAAATATTCGCGAAGTTATGGACGAAACCAAACTCGATGAGTCTACTTTAGCAGCGCAACGCCAAGAAATGGAACGTCTTCAACGCGTCCAAGAGCAACAACGGATTTTGCGGGAGTTTCAAAGACAAGCAGCCCAGGAGCGTATGCAAAACAAAGTAATCTCCCTCCTACAAGGAAATAATTTTTCTAAACCTGGCCCTTCGACCACTAGAATTGGAAATACAGTGTTGGTAAAATTACCAAATGGGCAAACTAAACCTATGACTAGATTACCAAAAAGACCTTTTGATTTAGTGCGAGTACAGAAAAACGCGGGACCTGCGCCCCTGTCTCCTGCAAAGGGGCCCAGAGGTTTAATTCCTATGAAAAAACCAGGGACTAATTTGACTCCGAGTGTTAGTATAGCACCAGTTACAAAGAAGTTTCCGCCAATGAAAGCAAGGAGTGATAGTGAGAGTGAAGAAGATATTAAGCCAGATCCTAAGTTATTAAAACGTAAGTTTTATATAGTTGGACTTTTGAATTTGTAAAAGTTGCGTTTTTTATTTTTGAGAGAGTGTGGTTGGTTGGTTTTTTTCTAGATACGGTTTTATTGGCTGCACATGTTGCAAACTAACCAATGGTAGCACAATATTAAAGATCAATATAATGGTAGCCACAGTTGTTCCTACTAGATGGCGCTGGTAGTTACGATTTTTAACACTTGTTGGTTGTTACCACTACTAGTTAGTACGAAGACGAAGGGCCAGGCACATTTTCGATAGGTTGCGAAATTTTATTTGTGAATTTCTCCAGAAAGAGGCGGAGGTTTATGACCGCGCCTCGTCTAATGTAATCAAAACAAAATGGTAGGGGGTTAGTTATGGCATTTGTATTTCCGTCGTTAGGTGTTATAAATGTCTTATCGCTTGGGGATTTATTAACACTTGGGTATTAGTGGTATGTTAAAATTTGTAACATACAATTTCTGTGGTTTAGAAAATCATATGAAGCAGTAATAGTTAAAATAACGCTAGCAGTAGCAGTAGCGCAGCATTTAATGTACAGGAGCTAAATCTTTAATTAAATGGTTATTTATTTGTCACAAAATGCTCGTTCTCGTGATGAGGTGAAGTGGGTTTTAGCTCTTTTACGAGACGTGAAAACGTATTTTTTATGCAAATAAATCAGTTTTTTTTCTCTGACCACTTGTAACTATCAGAATTTTTTGAAAATCGTATGACACCCAAGTACGGTTACCATAGTAATACAAAATTTTCGTGGAAGTTTTGTTTCCCTACTAACCTTTAAGCGAGCTTAATAAGTGGAAATTTTTTCAGCTAATCAAAATCAAAAGCTGCATTTTTTTATTATGCGTCATAAGTTCAGATATATTATCTATTAAAATGAAATATACGATTATTATAACTAATAATTTGTTGGAAATTGCTAAGAATACTTTTATTACATCTTGATGCATTAATTTGAATGAAATTGTCTAAATGGAGATAGTGTAACATTAACTTTCTTACCTTCGTCATTAAATATTTCTCATCTGGTGCTACAAAAAGAATCGATTAATTTGTTTATTTGACGTCTTTGGCTTTTTGGGTCGATATCTGTGAGAGAACGTTTCATAGATGGTATAGGCTTAGAACAATTTCTAATATCGCTGTTAGTTTCACAGTCTTGAGAATCTAACTTTTGTTGATAAATTAAAAATTTTCGTACATTTCTTCCATTGTTTTCTGACCATTTTACAATAGTCTGACAAGCTATGTTATATTACTTTTTGTCTTAATAGAAAAAGTACTCAACTTTTTGAATAGTTGACATACTAATCCAATTACATAGTTCCTAAATGACTTTTTGTTAGTGCAAAATATTTTGAAAATTTGTCTTATCGCGCGACCGGAGAAAAAATACAATGAACATATGACAAAAAAAAAACGGGTCAATAAACATTATGGTACTTTTAGTAGTTCAAACGATTATGATTAATGCTACACAAGTAGAAATTATGATTTATTTATTAGTTTAATTTACAATCGAGATAATTGGTTGGTACATATGTAATTTCAACATTGTTGTAATACACATTTAAAATTTCAGCTTATCAAAGTAAATGAGCCATAGTTTATACTGCTTGCTACTCTTAACCTCAGATAAACAAAAAAGACACTAACCTTACAAAAAAAAGTGTTACAAGTGAAAGGTTGCAGATATTGAACAGATGTTTAATGCGAATCGTTTTATCAATTTAAAACAGAATTTTTTTTTCCTTATATTATATAGGGACTAAAAGACATTAAATTACCCAGAATTCAAGTCACTTAGGTACTAAAATTTACCTATTATTAAATTTTTAACAGTAAATTTGGACGTTAATTTCTATTCATTACATCTATGTAGTTCTAAATCTTACTTCTTCAAATAATTTTGAATTGTTAAAATTCGACTAGAAACCAAACAAGAAACAGTATTGTTAAAATTCGACTAGTAACTAAACAACAAACAGTATTGTTAAAATTTTTGACTTGTCAATGGATCCGTTGGAATCACTTGAGAAATATAAGTCGCTACTTAGATATGAAATAAATTTTGCAGAGAAAATCTACAAAATAAAGTGTAATTTTAAAATTAATATTTTAATTGATTTTATGACTAATAACTGTAGAAAACATTCTAGCACTTTAGTAAGTAGATACTTCGTATTATTAATTCTGTTCCTTGTGAAGTTCCTGCCAAAGAACCCGTTACAACCATCGACATCTCGTCGGACGAAGACTGTATCGTCGTCTCCGAACCGGAAGCTGAGCAAGATGACGATCCCGAAGACGATCCCAGCAATTCCGGCATGCACACGAACGACGAATTCAACCAACCAGATGACCAAGGTAGAGTCGTCGTCAACATCGGTCATCCGGAAAACGAACCGGATCTGTTCCTAGCCCCTCAAATTGCGCGGGTCATCAAACCCCACCAAATCGGTGGGGTTAGGTTCCTTTACGACAACGTCATCGAAAGCACGACGCGATACGAAAGCTCCGCCGGTGAGTATTCCCGGTCTGACCCACTCTGGAATCTGTATGCACGTACTTGCAGGTTTTGGGTGCATTCTTGCCCATTCCATGGGTCTGGGTAAAACGTTGCAGGTGGTTTGTTTCTCGGACATTTTCCTGCGGCACACTCCGGCCAGAACCATACTGTGCATAATGCCTATAAATACATTGCAGAATTGGATGGCAGAGTATAACATGTGGTTGCCGACAGAGGATAATGCACCTAATAGTCCACTTATGGTCCATGGTGAAGTGAGACCTCGTAATTTTAATCTTTATGTTTTGAATGACAGTCATAAGACGCTGGCGGCACGGCATAAGGTGATTCACGCGTGGAAATCGGGGGGTGGAGTGCTTTTGATCGGGTACGAACAGTTTCGGTTGTTGTCGTTGAGGAAGCACCCGAAGTCGCGGAAGAAGACGAACTCTGCGGAACCGGCTGACGACGACAAGAATAAAGCGTTGTTTGACGGTGAGTATTGTAGATTTGTATATCAAAAAATTGAAATTAGATTTTTTTCGTTTTTGGGGTTTGTAGATCACTGTTGACTAATGTTGGCAACATGAAAATGAATGCGAGCATTTTTTTCCCACTATATGACATGATTTTCCCAAGTTTATTTTTGTAGCAAATGTTACACTGATTTTTTACGTAAATAATATTTTCAAAATTGCAAGCTGTGCTTGTTTGAAAAAAAAAAGGACGTATGTAATTTCAGGTCACCACAAACGTGGTAAATCGGTAATCAAAATTTATCAGTTTTTGCTCTCGAAAAACTGTATGATGTGTTTGCAAAATTGTGTCATTCTCACTTGAAGTTTATATTATACTGTGAGATGGTTCTTTATTTGTGACTAATAATAATCAGAGATCGGATTGGTGATGCTGAATTAACGCCATGCATGTTAACAATTACTGTTCTCTCAAAATTTTCCTGCCTAAAACTGTGTTTGTAATGCGATAATCTTTGTGTTTTAAATTTTCTGTGTAGTATGAACGCCACTGGATATGAGTGAATTTGAAAGGAAACTAAACTTTTTTGCACCGTACAGTTAACCACTTTAATCGACCGACAGGAGGTTCAGGTGCATCATTGCACTGGCGGTTTACTACATTACCCGCAAGACTCCGGTCCCTGCTAGTAATGTTTCCATTTTTTTTTAGAATTGTTTATCCTACGATGTATCGAAAATAATAGTGAGGAAAGCAATTTATTGTATTGATTTAATGAAAAACGATTGACCTAATTTTTCCGAAGTTCTGGGTACACGTTTTGTTTTTATTAATATTACATTATACGTATCAAAACAGATGTGTTTGATCTGTATGTCATTGTAATTGCAATACATATAACGGTCTATCAAAATCCGTTACAAGAAATAATATATTTGCAATTTAAAAAAATATAGATTTTACGTCGCGACACTGTGCGTCATATTTGTAATGTACTAAATTAAGTCTTCAAGCTAAAAGTAATGGCGTTTACAGAATTTCAATATCTCTATTCGTTGTCAAGGCCACGGAATCTACAATTGGACACCTGTGCAGGTGGCATATAAGTGTACAGTGTTGTATAAATTTATAACTTCTACAATCGGAAAAAATAGGTCTCCTGTTTCCATCCATCTGTCGTTTGTTGCCTTTTTTACTTTCCGAGCGTAAGCCAAGGAAGTATTATAAAAAAAAAAACACGAATGCTTTGAAATCTTGCAGTTTCATATTCTTTAGAATTGTTTATACGGGTGACTCAAAAAAATTAATGAAAGAGTCAGTTTATTTTATTGATTAAATCAGGAACTGTTATAAAACCGAATGCTCTGAAATCTTCGAGACCTTTTAAAATTATCGTTGGCATGGTAAACTTTTGATCAAAATATATGTGTTTTTGTTCCCCCTAAAAAATGGATGACGTCATTTAAAAATTTTGCCGAATAAATCTTATCAAAAATGTGGAAAATATGATGCGTCTATACTTGCGATTTATATAATTGCATTCATATTTTTTAGAATTGAGTATACAGGGTGATTGAAAATAATCCATGAAATAGTCATTTTATTTTATTATTTAAATCAGGATCGGCTCACTCCATTTTCTTAAAAATTTGGAAATATGTACAATACTGTTATTAGTATTACACTGCAACTACCCAAATTGATATACGTGGCTTTACAAAAATGTTGATTACGTCATCACAAAATGTTCTAAAGGAAAAACTCATTAGAAGCAAACGCCTAGCACGCTTCTTTTCACTTAGTTTAATATTTCATACACTTCTTTGTTGTACTTGTAGACGTTCTCATAAAAAATTAAATTCACAAAATCAAATTACAGGAGTTTTTCGAAAAAGCTAGGTATGTTTTTTTTTTACTTCGAGGGAAGTTCTGTCGAAAAAACCTTCAGTCAATTTTTTCTAGACAAACCATCTTTGAAACTTCGACAGATTTTTAGTGACGTCATTTCAAAATTATGCGAAGTAAATTCCGTCTAAAATGTACAAAATTCTGACTAAGACTGATTTTGGCAAATGAGATATCATCTAAGAAAAGAGAGGGTGAGTGGGTGGGTGGGGCTAGTAGCTGCTAAGATAAGACTAATTTTGGCAAATGAGATGCCCTCTAAGAAAAGAGAGGGTGAGTAGGAGGGGCCAGTAACTTCTAAAATAAGACCGATTTTGGCAAATGACGTATCCTATAAGAAATTTAATTAAATTATAAGAAAAAAACACTATAGGTTCCAAAGCACTCAAATTCTTTCCAAACAGGTCAGGTCAGGATTTTCCAGAAATAGAGCACCAAAGTCCCTCAAAATTGTTTGAAATAGTTTACAAAAAAAAATCTCCATGGGCTCCCAAAAGAATTTCTCTCCATGGTACCCAAACATTGCGGCACTCAACTTTTTCAGATTCGTAAAAAGTGAAACACTGAAAGTCCAAAAGATTTTTTCAAGTTCAACCAGCAACAAAACACCAAATTCCTTTAGATTTATCCTAAAATAAAACTCACTTTTCGGGCAGAGAAATCGTCTCTAATGGAAATTGACTAAATATTCTTTTTCAAGTAGAATTCGTCTATAACTCTATACCTCTTCTAAAATTCAATCGAACTTTTGATTTTTTTCTGCAACTCTAGCTCTACAAATAAATCAAAAGTCTATAATTTCAGATTTCGAGACCGAATTCTTCTAGAATAATCTCGAACGAAGTTAATTACGCTCCTTGTTCAATCCTAACCCTGAAGGCGAAATTCTTCTATATCTATATAAGAAAGATTTTTTTGCTTTATTTTGTGAATACATGATTTGATATTATACAACAACAAAAAGGTTAAAATTAACCTCACCCACCCACTCTGAATTTAATTGAGGTGAAAATTGAACTTTATTTTGTCGGTGATTAGATCTACGCTTAAAAAAATTTCAAAGCTCATCCATCAACTTTTCTTTTTCATCACTTATTTTATTGGACAAAAAGTGAATTTTGTATTGGTAAAACAGAGGAATCTAGACGATAAAGATAAAACCATGGTTGTTAAATTTCATTGGCTTATTTTATTTACTGAGATGACAATTTAATTTCATTTTGTTAAGTCAAGTCTATGAATAAGAAAAACTTTAAAGTGGCCCCGCCCACCCAGTCTTTTTTTATCACTCATTTTATTGGACGAAAAATGGATTTTAAATTGAAAAATAGTGGCATCTAGACAATAAAATGAAACTATCCCACCCACCGACCCACTTCCGTTTTTGAATTTCATTGGCTTATTTTATTTACTTTGAGATGAAAATTGAATTTTAGTTTATCAAATTGTCCAATTCTGCGCTTAAAAAAAATGAAAGTGTCCCCGCCCACCCACCCTGTTTTCTTTGTGATCATTCATTTTATTGGTGGAAAAGTGAATTTTATATTGAAAAACAGAAAAATCTAGACACAAAATAGATAAAACTAACCCCACCCACCTCCATTTTTGAATTTCATTGCCTTATTTATTTAGTGAGATGAAAATTTTATTTTATTTTGTCAAGTGGCCGAATCTACGAATAAGAAAAACTTCAAAGTGATCCCGCCCACCCAGCCTTTTTTTTATCACTCATTTTATTGGACGAAAAGTGGATTTTATATTGGGAAATAGTGGAATCTAGACAATAAAATATTTAATATTTTTGGCTACTTGTCAAGATAAGACTAATTTCGGCAAATGATCTACTCTCTAACAAAATAAAGGATGATAAGGCGGGGTTAGTAGTTGCCAAGTTAAGACTGATTTTGGCAAATTACCTTCTCCATTAAAAAATAAGTAGTGCCTAATAAGACTGATTTCGCCCAATAATAAGTATTATTAATTTGGTATTAGGCGAAAATGAAATTATACACATATTTCTATCACCAGAAGTAGCAAAAGTAGTTAAAGAAGTTAAGCGTTTTTGTTCAAAGACCCCTAACTTTTTGTTAATAATATTTATTATTATTTATTGTATTTGGGCGAAGTTAGGTTAAAGAAGATTTTTGAATTGTGGGTGTACCACGAACATTAAAAAAAAAAGACTTTCTTCTCTGTTCTATAGTTTTCGTTTCATTTGGTCCTTCAACTGACTGTAATTTAGCAAGTATTAACTCGCCCTTTGTTTTCTTAGAAAGTACGTTGTTTGCTAAAGTCAGTTTTATCTTGTAAGTACTAACCCCGCCCACCCACCTTTTATTTTCTTAGAGGGTAGGCCATCTGCCAATATCAGTCTTATCTTAGCAGGTACTAGCCCCATCCAACCGCCCTTTATTTTCTTGGAGAGTAGGTCCTTTGCCAAAATCAGTTTTATCTACGCCCGTACTAGCCCTGCCCACCCTCCCTTAATTTTCTTAGAAAGTAGGTCTTTTGTTAAAATCAGTTTTATTTTCGCAAGTACTAGTCCCACCCACCATTTCTAATGTTATGCCTGTAGAATTAAAATTCTACAATAAAATTTTACAGCTTAATTTAGAAACTGCAAGTCTGATTGCTTTGAAACTTTGTAAACGTCTGTTTATACCTTCCAAAAATTTGATGACGTCATGTTTTTTTTTTCCTATACTGCTATTTTTAGAATTGATTAGGCAGGATGTTAAAAAAATTAATAAATGTAACAATTACTTTAATTAATTTTGTTGATTATGTCAAAAAATTGACGAATACTCTGGTTACCAGCATCATTCATCCAAATTGATATGTTTGTCCTTGTCAAAAAGTTGATGACGTTATCACAAAATTTTATTAAGGATACATCGCATGAAACAAGCACAGTAGGCATTTTAATTATCTGCATTTTAATAACAATTCGTGTCTATTGTGTTTGTAGCTCGTAGCGGATATCATAAACATAAAATTGAACTTGTTTGTTTCATTATACAGGGTGTTAGGGAATGCTTGCAACAAAATTTGAAGGTAGGCTCCTGAAGAAGAGAACAACAAAAAATGCTAGTAACACTTTTTTCAAAGGTTAA